TCTTTCCTTATTACCATCATCGGCGTCATCAACTTTTGTCTAAATTGTTCAAATGATTGGGTAAAATAATTAATTGGTCATCCAGTGAATGGTCAACAATGTTTCACTTTTTTCTTCTTCAATTGAAGTTAATAAAAATCTCATCAATTGAACCAATTGTAACCTTTATTCATTATCATTTTAATAGTGAATTAATGATAATAATTTGAACAACTTTTCATTCTCAATGTTCCACTTTGATAACAATACAAGGACAGTTAATTGTAATCACACTGTTGCTCTTTAAATCAACTGCAATTCCTTTACCAGTAAAATAACCTTTTTGTTGGCGTTTTGCTTGAAAAAAAGAGCGTGTTATAGCTCGAAAAAACGGAAATGACCTTCTTTTCGGGTTCTACTCTTACCTTTGATTGCAACCAGACTCAAGATCATTGCTTTTCCGTTTTAAATCTTTTTTTCTTATGACACTAAATGGTTATTGGGTAAAGATGATTACGATTAAATTGAACGTAAAGTGAATTTAGTCAATTGAAATTAATAGCTTGTTCAACAAGAGCTGAACAATACAAGACGCTTTCATGTTTAATACCGAGGTAAAAGGTAAATCAGTCTGACAATGGGAAAAACAATTACAATTTTCAATTGTAGACTTACAACAATTTGAATCGGTCAACCTTCAAAGCATCGTTAATTTAAACATTAATGCTCTACAATACAACAACATTTAATTCACAGTTTAATCGTTATTATCGTACAAATCAGTTTACATGTAACTTGACGCATTTTTGTTTCATTTTCAACGTTTTTTTTTATATTCATATTCATCGCCATTATCATCTTCTGTCAACCATTTTACTTTCTTTCCTTTCATGCTTTTGTGTATTAACCCGAAATTCAGGTCATTGGGTCAAGGACGGATGACCACTGATTTCCATTTCAATTTCGTTTAACAAAACGTTTTGTTTTAAATTTTTTTTCTTTCGCTTTACGCCAATATCGCTGCCTGATTCTTACCTTTATATTGAATATTTTTATATTTTTTATCATTACTTTGATTACATCGCATCTCTTTGTCTTTAATATCACAATTTAGAGATTTACCTTTTTTCCCATTCTTTGTTTTATTATCATTTCAATTTTTCATTGTTTCCATTATTTTTTAATTTAAACGCTGTTTGCCTTTTTTTCATATTTCGCTCGCTTTTTAACCGTTGCTGTGGCTATTGGCGTTGCTAGCTATTGTTGGTTTTTGTTAGCTTTTTTTGTGCTTTGTTTTTACTCTGTTTTGTATCTTTAAGGTCATTTTGTATTAAATTCATTCATCTAATTACAGTTAGATGCGCTAACAATTAACTCATCATCATAATGTGACCTCTAAATTGTATTTAAACTGTGTACTAAACTTGCAATTGGCAATCATTTTGTCTTTTAAAATTAACGGTCACCAGTTTACAGTTGCCTTTCAATGAGTTGAGACTCTGTTTGACTTTTTCTTTCTCTTTTTTTTACTTTCGTTTTTATCGCAATTAACTAATTGGTCTTTTTTTATGTTTATCAATTGATTGGGATCGTCTTTCTAACTTTTAATCCATGATAAGCTATAAACAGGAGGAGTGGATGTTTGGCGTCTTAACAACAAGGCAAGGTAAAGTCGATTAAAAATTAGGAGAATCGTTGAATCTTTTACTTTAGGCTGTATTTAACCTGATAATTGTCTGATTTGACATTTGTCTGAATTACTGCCATTCCACAAGAATTATGCGATTTCTCATAATTTACAATCGAGTGCCTTGCTTTGCCTAACAAGTGACAGCTTGAGAAATGGTCATTGTATAACGCAGTTAACAAGTCGGATTAACCAGACGATTTACCAAGTCATTTCGGTTCAACCGGTTTTTAAATTTAAAGACAATAAGTTTCAATTAGCCGAGAATCTCTCAAACAACTTTACCAGAAAATGAATTGCAACAGGAAAAAAATGGTTAATTTACGCGTTGTTTGGAAATGGTCATTTTGGGATTCATTAGCTTCTTTCCAGAAAACATTTGATTTTGGAAATTATTTACAAGCCCAAAGATGATATAAATTTTTCCCAATTGTCTTTAAACTGGAAAACTGATTGAATCTAAATAGACTGTGATTGAGCTTCAGGATTTAGATGTTAATTTGGTCCAGAAAGGTTCAAAAATTGGTTTCATTGTTAACAAGGAATAGAAGCGCAGACTTTAAGCAATTGATCGTAAATTGAACCACAATTAACATTCTTTCTGATGGTTGGAATCAAGAATATTAATTTCAATTCTAATGCTAGTCATTTTGATGGAATAATGGACTGAAGGATTTTCTTGAAGCACTCCATGACAAACTTGAATCTATTTTCTGATTCACTTTGTCAAACCTATTTTTGTATATTGATTTTAGCCTGAAAACTGATATTTTTGTTTCTTGTTTATACAATTTGCATTATCATCTAGATTCCTGATGATGAAGATGAAAGAGTGTAATAAAAATAACATGTGAGGTGAATTAATAATCAAGATAAACTATTTTAAATTGTAATGTTTTTTTCCTTCTTTTGTTTCAATTCAATTTTTGCTTTTTATCTCCAACAATCATGTTTTTATATCATCCTCATCATTATTATTCAAATGAATTGAATTGCACCCTTGCTCTTATTTAATCAACTAAATCTTTCCTCCAAAATATCAGCAACAATTGAACACATTTCACGAAAAAATGTAGCAAATCTTTAGTTGAAATCAAATCAGATCAATTGAAATCAAGTAAATCTCGTAATTTACGGGTTACCTTTTTATGGTTACCTCTTAATTGATACCAATTTGTCAAAAGTAAATTACAATTGTCAAGGAAATGGTTAAATTTAATTATGATAAGGAATACCTAAATTGCCTTCTCTTACAAACAGGTTTGCCTCAATGTACGCTTGTAATTAAACTCCACCTAGATAATTAATAAGCTTAAATTTGGCGATTTAGTATCCAAATGTTTAAGATCTACAATCAAGACTTTCTAATTGTTGCCAATTCATTTGCATTTCATTCATTTTTGCCAGCAAAATCCTTGAGATTTATATGGATATTTTTGCTAGAAGGTTAATCCATTGTATTTACATTAATTTTTATGGGTTTTATTAGGATTGATTACCTTGTCTTTTTGTAAACAATTGACGAGTTTCATTGTAAATCATTAAATTTGTTGATCTATTAATAGCGATAGAGATTAACCTTTTCTCTGGCTTTCTGTTGTTGCTTTTGTTGTTGTTGTTGCATCTCGAATGTTGATTGTCTAATGTGAAGATTATTAAGAAATCAGTAAATCATCTTTCTTCTTGCTTACCTGTTTCAAATGACTTTTAATAATATTAATAATAATTATTAAATATGCTGATGAAAAATGATAAATGATGATGAAAATAATAGAAAATTGTAAATAATAATTTATGCGATGATGAATGGAAACAAAGGAAATTTTTTAATGGATTGAACAAGATAAAGTAGAGAGGTTCAAGTGGGTTTAATCATGATGATCATGATGATCATGATTAAAGGGTAATGATGTTAATAATGATGATGATATCACTGAATTGTTTATGAGTTGGTTGATTATGAAGAAAAAAAATCAAGAAACACACAAAATGTACACAAAAAATCACATTAGCTTAACCCATTGAAAGTATGGAGCCATTTTTGAAAATTTTAATGTAGTGAAAGTGAAAAGATAATTCAAATGATTTCACTTTCTTTATCAACACCATTTATTAATACATTTCAACAATTAACTGAGATGATCAGATATTTGGATAGTTGATTAAAATTTAACATTAACTTGATTAGCTAAATATTGTGAAATTGTAGGTAAAGTTGATTAAAATTGGTTAAACTGAAAAGCGCGGTCAAAATGGACAAGAAGGGGAAAGGAGGGGAAAAATTAAAAATGTCTCGACTTTATTTTAACGGTTTTTTCAAAAGCTATTGTTTTGTGGTTAAGAAACTAAATCAATGGAAAAGATTTAGATCATCTGTGATTAAGACCAACTGATTTTTAAGTCTTTTAATCAACTGTAATCGTAATTACTTAGTTCTATGTGAAGTCGATCGTTTTACCTGCAAATTATATCAATTTTGCTGGCTTGGTTAGCTTTTCAACTTGATTTGAAAATGCAACACGTTTATTGCGTCTTGTGCTCATTGGTTGCTGATTGTTGCTTCATTGATGCAATTAATTTTAATTGTAGGTCACCCTTGTTTCACAAGGTTACACCGGAAATAACTGACAACCTTACTGAATAATCAACAATTTCCGGTAAGTAATAGTTTCACTTTCTTCTTTATCTCTACTTTTGCTGTTTACCAACATGAGCAAAAGTAAAAGTAAAAGTTAATTGCTTTCAGCAATCAGCAGGCTGGTTTTGATTTGCTTCTTGGATGGTGGATTGTTGAAATGATAATTCAGATAAATCAATAAACCCTCAGGTTGTCATCAACATCAACATCGTCTTCATCTTTTTTTCTTCATCCTCATCTTCATCCTTCGTCTTCTTCATCTTCAACTTATCATCATTTCCTTATCTTTTTTTAAATGCAATTCCACTTTCACTTCAATTGACCTCAAAATGGCCGTCAACTAAACTTGCTATTACCTTAACCATTAATTCTTATTCAATGTTGAACGAAGAGAATTGACTTTAACATTATTATTTACCCCTTTTTTCAGGTCAATTTTTATTGGTACTCATTAATAATTGTTGTTATTATTATTAGAAAACGAAGAAGAATTGAAATAATGTCATTAATGAACTGATTACCGGAAATTTGATACTCCATTATAATGTTAAAAAGATTATTAAATTTAATTTAATTGTGCATTGTTTTACACTTTTCAAACTATTTGTTTACCTGTATACAGTTGACAATTTTCACTGATTTTTCTTTTCCTTCTTTTTTTGTGGTAACAATTTATTTTAATTGTTATCTCAATAGGATGGCGAGGCTTTAACACAATTGGGATTATTGATTGACGCAATGATGTTGAACATGGCAGATCTACATTTCTTTGCAAATGATTTACTGGTAATTGCGTTGTTTTTTTACCGACAACTGATAATCAATCTTTACTCAATTATAACTCGACTTCTCTTCCTCTATTATTGTCGTTCGTAATTAAATCATCAATTGTTTCAAATCAAGTCAGCCAGTTTTAAAGTTAATTTAATTTATTTACCATCTTTTTTTCATCCATTCCATGCTTAGTTTATCATCAGCTATTATTGTTCAGTTAATTTAATTTTAGCGTTTAGCGAAATTTAGCAAAGTTTTTTTCAAAGAATTGATTAAAGAAAGAAAAAGTGTTTAATTGATTGTTCCTCATTGTTTTAATTTATTTTTTTCTTTCAGCATTGCGATCAAATCCATATTGATGATGTATCATCTGATGATAATGGACAAGATTTAAGGTGAGTTGCAATTACCTCTGCTTGTAATATGTCGACTAATCAAGTGTTTTTTTATATTCCAGTTCATACGATTTTAGTAAAGATGGTTTTAACGAAGCAACTCGAAGTAACAATATGGGTTGTCTACCTTCAGCTGGAACAAGAAGTGGAATAGATTGGATGAGAAAGTTAGCTTTCAGATATCGAAGGATTAAAGAGATTTACGATCAGTATCGTAACAATGTTTCAAGTAAGCATCAATCTCTGGACGCAAGCACAAGACTATCAGCATGATTGTTGAAATTACTCATTTCCAAGGATAAAGATGATACAAATCATGATTTACTAGGGAAAATTTGCAGCACACTGGCGAGAAATGCTTAGTTTGTTAATATTAATAGTGAATTAATTCACTGTCTACCAATTTTAGATTATAAATAATGTCTAATGAATCAATTATTACCTAGACATTGTTTAAATTTGCTTTTGCAAATGTTTATTTCTAGTTAAGGTTACGATTACCTTGAGCTAACCTTAAATTAATTTGTTGAGCTGTTATGTTATACGCTTTGAACGTTTTTATTGCCACTCTAACGGTTTGAAAGTGTGTATTACAGCAAGTTTTGTTCATCATATCTTATTGTGATCACTTTCCTTTTAATTATAGCCTTAATATCATGTAACTATTTATTAAAGTGACAAGACCTATTAGTTGATTGTAAAGATTAATCCAGATTACTGACAGGCTTGAGCCAAGATTAAAAAATGTGTTGAAAAGTTAAGTTAAAACTAAATTAAGACGCTCAAAGATAAACTAAATTTAATTTGCTTGAGGGTGTAATATGTGTGTGTGTTTGCAAGCTACAATATAACAGAAAGAATAGATGATAATTTAATCAAGAGAAAAAATCAACGATGAAAGTGATTAGTGAAAAGGAAAGTTGTTCAGATATTATCTGGAATCCATTAAACAAATGATGGCAACTATGTCAGGTTAAACGTTACCTAAAATGCAAATACACTGATGTAGTGATGAACAAAATGTATAATAACGGTTGAAATAATAGTTTTTAAAGAAATTAGATGAAAACAAGAAAAAATAGAGGAAAAATTGATCTAAATCACAGCAGGAATCAACATGGAATTAAATCAGATGTAAATAGACCAAACCTAAATTGCTAGTTGAAAATAATAAGGAGAGTCATTAATGTATTTCAATGAAGATGATTACTATTGAAATTGTTCACCAACGGAGAGGAGAGAGAACCTTTAAATTTTGGTCAATTTTGTTCACCTAAGGGACTATCAATTATAATGATCCAGAATAATGATTAAAGGCCTAAGGCATTGTTGTTATTGCCGTTATTTGTTTGTCGTTAATACTAATCAAATTACAGTTTGAGGTTCATTGCAATTTGATGCCAATATCAGTCATGATCATCGTTTTTGTATCTTCCTTTTCCTACTCCTTCTCATCACTCCCTTATGAATTAATAGTAACAAGCAAATGGAAAGTAACCTTAATAATGATATTTGTCTAATTTTCCTTTTCTTTTCATCTTCTCTCCCCACCGATCATCTCGATCATCTTCAATCATCTTTAGGTCTCTTAGGGAACAAAGCAAATGAATGGATGCATATTCGCAGTGAAATTGAAAATTTAACCGACAATTGGTTGACTTTTGCTATTAAATGTTTAACAATAATCAATGAAAGGTAAGGTTGACTTTCTCGGTCCAATTTAAAAGTTAAAATTGATCAACCCAAATGATTTTAATGCAAATTCATCATCTATTCAAGCATTGGCTACATGATTACATGTGCTGAGAAGTAAATATTTTGCGTTAATTTCATTCAGTTGAGTTAATTGTGACTCCGTTTGTTTATGTTTGCATTTCTAATTGTTGACTTTTCCCTCTTTTTTTGTTTCTCTCTCTCTCCACTCAATCAGACCTAATTGTGTTAACGTTCTTGTAACCGATTCAAACCTGGTTCCTGCTTTGGTAAAATTACTGTTACATGGATTAGGACCATTCTTTCCGATTGATAATATTTACTCAGCAGCTAAAGTTGGTAAAGATCCGTGTTTCAATAAAATAAAAGATCGTTTTGGTTCTAAATGTACTTATGTTGTTATCGGTGATGGTCAATTTGAAGAATCAGCAGCAAAATCAGTAAGTAATTAACCTGAATACTCATTAACCCTTTCAAAATGAGCTTAAGTTTTTGAAAGCGAAAAAAAAGAGAGCTTAACAAATTCATCATCCTACGAAGTTAACTAAATATATTGATACTGTATTTCTTGAATTTGTTATTTTAAAAAGGCTGTTGTCTCATTTTATGTATTTAATGTTTTTAATCAGAACGCACAGAAATCGCAAACCAAAATCAGGAAGAACATTATGATTATCTCTCTTTCTGTACAAATTAAATTAATACATTAAACAGTTATTTGGTTGAACAATTTATTCAACTTTTCTTGAAATCTCACAATTAAGAATACATATATTTATATATTTGGTTACGTTAAATAATGATTAATATTAATATTAACTTTCACCTCTTCTTCATTCTTCTCTTCAAACAATTACCAGCTTGGAATGCCTTTTTGGAAAGTTGATAATCATGCTGCTTTGATTAATTTACACCATGCTTTGGAGCAGGATATCCTTTAACCAGCGGATAAATATTGGTATCAATGTAAATCAATGGAAAGGAAGGCAGCCAAAAGGACAAAAGGAAAAAAAACGTTAATCAAACGATAATTCATTGAGCAAGAAAAAAACTGTTTTATCAAATCATGAGATGAAAAGCTTACACCAAATTTTCAAGCAACAACCTTTCCTTTACCCAGCTAAGGTTACCAAGAACAGGAAAACCAGAAAATCATTCAACAATTTAAAGACACACACACAATACATTATACATACAATCTACACTTCAAACCAATTTTACCTTTCACCCAACCAAATCATCTTATTTATATTTGTAATGAACACTCGACAATTGTTAATTACTAAGAAAATGCTTATTAATTACCAATTGTAAGGTTAACCTTTTCAGGCTCGCAAGCTTTTCCCTTTTATCATCATTGTCAATTATTCCCCTTTCCTTTCATCTTTCTTCGCTTTCTATTGAAACAAAAAATTAATGTTTACCATGAACTCAGAATGCGTTTTTTTAATAGATCAATCGAAAGCAAATCCTTTTAAAAATTCTGAATTCATCATGAAAAAACAAGAGAGACAACAAAATGAAGTATTGACAATATTATAATTAATTATATATATATAACTGGTTGTATTAACAAAACTTAAACAGTATCGTTTTTTTATTATCACTCTTATTATAATTATGATTATTAAAAAGCAATTCTCGGTGTCATTAAAATTTTATTTAAATGGTTATATCAATCATTATATTATCCTGGCGTTTTACAACAGCCAAATTGATCAGCAATATTAAGAAGTCAGATTAAGATTGAGAAGAGATTATTATCAATTCTTTATTTATTAATACAGATTACTATTAAAATTGTTTCGTTAATCGTTTTGTATCGATAACATGATTAATAGAAAAGCAGAAAATGAGAAAATCTGAAAAGACTGAATAACTGGCTTGAAAGATTGAACAATAATGGCCGGAATAAGAAGAAAAGTGAACTTAATAACAATTTTACAATTTAGAGTAATCAAAATAATTGAAATACATATTAAATGAATATCAATCATTTTTAATGTTGAATCTGTTTTAATTGTTGGGTTTGGTTGAGCAGTTTGAAGTGCAGCAAACAGATGAAAGTATCAAATAATGGTTGGAAATGTTCAATGTTAATTGATTGTTAACAAGCCAGTTGATTGTTTGCCCAACTTGAATCAATTAAAAGACTGTTAATTGAATCAAAATTGTTGACCCAAACCAATTAAACTTGTGGTAAAAGTCATTGACTAACTCTTTGTGGTCAACAGTGTAAGGTTAATGTACAATAAGGAATCATGAATAAATCATTTTCTGATTGCCATTTAAATTAGATGACAACAACTATGAGATTTGATTAAGAAGATAATCACGATTGATGGTAATCATGATAATTCAGGCGAGAGTTGTCATCATTTTTAGATATTCAAAGAGTAACCCTGAAAAGAAAAAGGAAAAGGTGAAAGTTTTCAACTTGAAAGGTTCATTCAATTTTCAATTTAACCCAAAATCTAATATTAATCAAATGGAATCACTTTCACTTTTCCAATTAATCTGTCAATGTTAATTCATTAATTGGTGTTGAAAAATGATTCCAATAATAGCTGTTAACCAACAAGTTGTTAAATTGAATGTTGCTGATTGTAAAGCTGATAATGTACATGAAAAGGTTTATTATTGATCTGTGAAACTCAGTTGGAAACAATCAACTTCAATTGTAACTGATTAATATTAATAGGTAAACATTTTTCATTAAATTTATGCTCATTTCCAATGGTTTTTGCCAGATTTAAATCAGAGTTGAATTAACTCTTTCAATGTTTCATATTGGATTCAATTTTGTTCAACCTGTTCACTTTACTCAGCTATCAAACCCAAAGGGTTGAACCAGGTAAAGATGAACTTGATAATCTTTATCATCATAAGATTCGTTGGCCTTAACGTGATTAAAGACTTCAACATTTGCTTCTTCTTTATGCATTAAAACCATCTTTTTCAACCGTCAACTCATTTTTGATTAAAATCAATCTTGGAAACTCTGGAAATCACTTTTACCCTTTTGGCTCTTGCTTTGCTCTAGCAATTATTACACTGATTTTATGATGAGATTAAACCTCTTTTAATCATAATTCAATCTCATTTTTAATTAACTTTTACGCTCATTAAATTGGACTTTAATTAAATTGGCTTTCATTGTGATCATTGCCCAACAAAACCTTGTATTGACATTTTCTGGTTACTAGCCATTTGAAAAGCAAATTAACCAGTTTTTTTTGGGTTTCACTTTTTTTTGCTTCTTCTAAATATCAAAATGTCTAACCAATTGTCAAGGTTAGTAATTACATAATCAACGTTAAATTGTTGTATCATGGCGATGGTGTGACTCCAATCACACCGAGATGACAATTAGCTTTACCATTGTTTAATGGTCAATACAGGTTTGCCATTAATTATCAATCATCATTGATTTGTTTTAAACATTTGAAGGATATTCATTTCACAGTTGGTTGTGAAAACTGTTGAAGACATTGGAAGTTTAAAGGCTTTTCAAACACTTTCACAGACAAGTTTGACCATTTTTGGACTCTATATTTGTACCTTTGAATTTATCTGATTCACCTTTTTGTAATACTTCTATGATTACATTAATTGTTAACAGAATACAGACAAAAGAAAAAACAATATCTTAATTTTACAGCTTGATCTACAATAAATGCACACTTTAATCAGTAACAAACCTAAATTTTTTATTTTGAATGGCCATTATTTAACTCGCTCATTTCTTAACAAGTTAATAAGTGATGTATAAATATAAGTGTTATATGTGTATATATAAATATATATCTGTTGGTTTAATCAGTTTTTAAGTATATCACTACAATCAGTTGAACATGAAAAGCTGTCCAGATAATAACTTCTTCTTTGTAATCATTGGCCTAAATTAACTTTTTTAATTCACTTTAAATTACTGTTACAAGGCACTTCTCTTGTAACTCTTTTTATGAGCCAAAGTATGCAATTGTTCTTCAAGTGTGTGGCGTTAATCAATAAACAACAACCAATCGAATTGTGCTTCAAAATAATCGCCAACATTAACAATATGAATAATGTGATTACTGTAATGGTGATAATTTACACAATTAATTGTAATAAAACGGAATGGAAAATATAATATGGCGAGAAAAAAAGAAAAAAAGAGAAGAGAAAACACAAAATCTCAAGTTGACTCCTACAAGGTTCAAGACAAAGACACTTAAACACAAGAAATTAATAGAATCATTATTAAAGTAAATAACGTTGATGATGGAAATTATGATAATTACAATTTAAATAATAATATTAACATGGATTTAAAATAAATTTCAATTGTTTAAAATGTGGTCAATGTTACGTTGAAATTGTTAACCCAATCTGTTGCCATCAGTTACCAAGGTAAAGAAAACAGCTGATATTATCTGGTTAATCTGGTTTTCTGGTTACTTTTAGTTACCGAATTGATTGTTGCCTTAAGGTCAAGGTATAGTCAATGAAATGAAATCTATTAAACATTCAACAATCTAATTTTAATTGGTATTATAATCTAATTGCACTTTGAATAGCTTTTCAATTTTTAATTGTAATCTTTATTTTTTACCCAATTGTTTGGCAATCCGGTAAATCCACGGTTACTCTAACCGGATCTCAATCTTTGCTATAATTAATAGCTTTTGGTTAATAATTAGTAATTAGTAACAACTTCCTTTCTCGACAATCAAATTGAATTGATTATTGTCAACTGTAGCACTAAGATAATCAAGATAATCATAATAACATTACTTTTTAAAGGTAAGATTGAGATTGTCAAATTAACACAATATTTCCTGTTGTTCAGTTAATTGTTAATTTATTGTTCACTCATTGTCACGCCATTATAGCCCTTTGCTCAATGCAGAAACACTGAACAATCAGTAAACCAACGTTAATCAAGCTTACCAATAATGTTAATAATAACAAGCGTTACTCAGCTAATTACTATTTACTAAAATTAATAAACAATTAGATTTACCTTTACATTTAAATAAACTTTCACTTTTTTTGTTCAAATTGTCTTTAGGCTTAAACAATAATACAATTGTTGCTACTTTAGTTATTGTTGTTAATCAGTTTTAACCTTTTAATTATGAAATAAATATCAATTATATATTATTATTATAATAAAATTATACAATGGGTGAAGTTAAATGGTTATGTATTAGTTAATATAATTAGATCAACTCTTTTGTCTGTTATTGAGATATAAATTGTTTCTATCAAATGTAAAATTAAATTGTCTTTTAATTACCTTCTTTCAATTGTTAAATTTAATTAATTTCTCAATACAATTACCGATGAGTTGAGATGAACAATGAATGTTGATAAACACTTAATCTTAATATTGAGCTACAAATTGATTCGCAATTTCGCATTTCTGTGGACATTTCATTTCTAATTTGGGTTTTATTCAACCAGAATTTGGGTTAAATTGAGTCTGTCTTTTTTCTGGTCATTTGTTACACTTATTTTAACCTAAAAGCTGGTTTAAGATCTTTGTTTAACTTCAATTGATTGTCAGCGATTTTTACGATTACTTTTTTTACGTCAATTGATTAATTGTTTCAATCAGTTGCTTTGTTGTTGCTTAATTTGTTTAATTTAAACAATTGTTTAAAGTTAAACTGTAGACTTGTAAGTCATTGATATTGATCAGAAAAGGAAAGGTTGAATAATTAAAACCACAGGTTAACTTGATTGAGTTGACTGGCTTTTATTAAGTTTCATTTTCAATTGAATTCGGAATGATTTTTAAGGACTGTAATTATTAGAGTTGTAAGGTAAGGCAAGAAGGAAAGGAAGAAAAGGTAAATGTAAAATCACTTTCGAAGTTACGGTTTGTTCAAATTTTCAAGTGAATCGTAAAAACAAGTTAAGCAATAACTTTACACGTCGAACAATCGACTTTGAGTACTTTGAGACAATAATGACTAACAGATGGCGTTGTAGTCAGAAATGATTTGGTTTAGTGATTTTGTTTTGTGATTGCCATTAAAGGCAATACTGGTTAGCTTTCTCGATCACCTTATTCAGGCTTCATTATCTTCATCAGCTCAGAGGATCGACTCAGCTAGCTGCACTTTCAAGATGAAAAAGTGAGCTGGGTTCTCGTTTACCCCTTACCTGAAAAGCAAATTACAATCGAGTAAATTGTCAGTCTGATGTTTCAGGCGCAAAATTTGTAAACACTAATTTCAAATTAAATTTTGGGGAAAAATTGTTGATTAACGCTATTTTGTTGGATTGCTTCTTACTCATGGCGTAGTTTTTGGTTAAATTTAATCAAGACAATCAAAATTTAGCATTAGAAGCATTGTTATTTGTTTTTTAATTCAATTCCAAGGTACATCAATTGTCCGAGTTTGCCTAAAATGTGTAAATTCAGGGAAAATGAAAAATCTTTAAGTTTCTTATCTTAAAGATTCGCCCAAATAGATTGAAAAAACGCCTTTTAATGAAGAAGAGACGAAATGAGCTGATTTTTGCTGTAGTTTCAATTGATATGAGATTGGGGAAACCATCAAATGGACAATTTTAGTTGCTCAACTACAAGAAATTTTTCTGGGTTTCAATTTTTTCTCTTTTTCCGCTGCAACCTCACCTGTATAATGCTCCTTGCCTCTTCTCATTAAAGAGTGATTCTCAAAGATTAAGCTATTCGCGAATTTAATCCGCGATAGATTGAAATCTATCTTGAGGTTAGGCCGCACGTCATGTTAGTCCAATGAGATTGAAATCTCAGAACGAGTTTTGAACACGAGATACTTTATTAATACCAACGGCTTATCTATCTTATACACTATTCAAGCCTTAATCTAATTCTTGTGTGACTCATAATGTAACACTGGTTAGCTTTCTCATTAACCTCAAAGAGTAAAAAGAAAGAGACTTCTCTCATTTTCGCATTTTGGTCAGTCACAATGGCCAAGTCTAGACCTCTAATGACAGACATCTAACCAAGAGTTACCCAAATGAAACACCTCGGTACTTACAATCCAGATTTGTATCATTTCAATTCATGTGTTGAACTTTCACATTACTGGTTAGCTTTCACCTCGATATTCATCTAAACTCATCAGTCAATGGATTAAATTCTGTATGAATTATATAAAAATAACCATTAAAATCATTATTAAATATAATAAACAATTATTTCAACTTAAAAACTTAATAAAAATTGGTTAAAAAAGTGTGAGAGAAGAAAGAGAAAAAGAAAGATGAGAAAATGGTAAAAGAAAGAGACTAACAGCAGCGCCCTCAACTGGAGGTTTACCATTAAAATTGGCTCCCTTTCTGGGTATCGTGAGCTCTCTCTTCTGACTTTACTCTTTAATTCATCTTATTCAGACTTCAGTGTAGGTTTGCAAAGATTAAAGCATGCTTTAATCTTTGATTGTAGGTAATGTAATAAATGGTTAAATATTTTTTTTTCCTTTGTTGTACCATAGGATTAGCCCAATGCTTGGGTTCACCTGAAAACAACGATAATCGATGGATTCACAATTCAATGGATGTAAGTGACCTTCGAAGGATATTTCAAGTTGAATCACCTCAACAAGTGCCCGAGTATGATCTCGTCCATGTTCGAGTTATCTCCAAGAGAGAAGCTCCATCACCATCATTGTCACCTAAACTATCGACATTCTCATCAAATTCATCATTACCCTCTTCATCAAAACCATCAACCACAACAAAAACTTCAAAATACAGTGAAGACTCCAAAAGGATACATCTACAGGTATTTGGTAAAGATTATGATTTACACCTGCATCCAAATAGTGATTTTAGTGAAAGGATAAAAGACATGAAAGTTTTCATCGCTGAAACCAATCCTAATGGGAAGTTAAGTTATCATGAAGAACCAATTCAGGTAAATTTAATGTTCATTGATAATTCACTCGTTTTATAAGCATTTTATTAAAGATTTAAATGTTGAACAATTGTAAATCATTGATACGTTGAAACCATCAACAAAAGTCGAGTGAAACAAAATTCAGTTTACTGGGTTTTTAGATGTTAACCTCTTTAATTACCTTTTAAATAAGTTAACAAAGTGCTATCTTTATGAATTCAAGATTTACTGTGAATCAATGTTTTATCTTCATGGTTGAAAAAATATTTAGATGATGATGATTTTGTATGTGATAGAGAGAGAGTATCTTTTGTTCAGGTCACATGGTTATGGTAAGATTGATTGAGAAAGAATAGTTGAAGGAGAGAAGAAGAAGAGAAAAAAAAACTTTCAAAGTAACGTCATGTTGATGTAACGTTATGTCAAGATGGATGAAAAACAAGTAGTAAAGTGGTGCTGAGCATCTTTTTTTTTGTATCGAAAGGGATACAACTTGCAGAAAAAAAAAGATGAGAAAAGTTAACGTTAATATGAGATGTTAATGAGGGATGATAAATAGTAAGAGAGGAAGAAAGTGTACGAAGTGCCGATTGAAATCGTTTCCGCCGTCTCCTTTCTCCCTCCATCTTTTTACCTCTCTATTTACCTCTCTTCTCACCATCACTATCATTATCATCATATTGAAAGTTGCTACCAAGCAAGTTTGAATGACAAAAAATATCGGATAAATCGGGTAGCTGAACCATTCCTTAAGTAGATTAACCAGAAAAAGTTGATTCAAAGACGTTATTGGTCTCAATATATTCAACATCGACTCTTGGTTCTAATCGTGGAGTGTCTCTCTCTCTTTCTCTCTCTCTTTTCCCCTTTTTCCCTCTTCTCTTCATATCTTTCGGCTCTTTCTTTTCTTCTCTTGTTTCGTCTCTTTACCTGTTCGATTCCGGTTTCTACTTTTATTGCTCTTCATGCAAACAAACGAACCTCGTTTTCATTTATTAAAAAAATCTATTTACAGACTTTTCTGTTCTTTTCTTAAACATTTGCATAAACATTTCATTATTTTCCAATTTTTTTCTCCTTCCTTTTCATTTTTCTTTATATCTACGACTTTAACCTGGACATTGATTTATATTTCGATGCTTCGATTATCAGGAACAACCTGAACTTGGAAAACCTTACCATGATCATTTGAATATGGCTGCTGTACTAGTGAGTCATGACCCGGAAGGAAGACTTCAAATGGTACAGTTTTTACTCTCTTTTCTGTCTAAAAATATTTTCTCCATCTCTCCCACTTTATCCAGCCTCTTTCACCTCCTCCTGTCTACTTTATGTCTCTTACTAACACGCACTTTTTTAATCATTTATTTTACTGATTGACTTCAATTGACACTTTTTCACTATTCCCCAACACTGGCTTATAATTGGAACCAAATTGAAACAATAAACGGACAAATGATCGACTTGAAACTGATGGTTTACACAGGATGGGACTTTGGGCAACAGTTTGGTGATTAAACCCTTGAATGCCCACAAGAATGCCCATGTCGTGTATAAAAAGGAATTTAATTATATTGATTCGGATTACCTTGAATTGGAACCGGGTTTAAATTTATACAGTTTAAATGCTTCTCAAGCTCGGTCATCTTACTCTTTGCCATACAATTCAGCGTCTTCCATGAATACCTCCAACCAACATCATGCTAATCAACCTAATGCAACCAATTATGGCGATGAAAATAATAATAATAATAATAATAATAAGCATCATCGATCGAAACGCCAAGCTCCTGATACAGTGTGGCCTGAGGTACTTCTAGTGGTTGATTATGATTCATACATATTACATGGAGCTAATAGTCGAGATGTTAAACGTTACTTCATCAGCTTCTGGAACGGAGTTGATCTACGATATAAATTATTGTCTCATCCAACAATTCGTGTTAGCCTGGCTGGTATGATTGTTGCTAAGGTAATGTAAATTGTCGTTGATTATTGTCATACAAAAAGTTAACCCAAAAATGAGGCCAAAACACAGTCAAAAAAGTCAACCAGGATTGTTATTGGATCAGGCTTCGACCCATTAATCATGTCCAATTTACTTCCTATCTTTGATTCTCTCTCTTTTTTTTTGGGTTAATTTGCTTTCCAATTAAACCCATTTTTTAACGTAACTTTCGATGATAATTTAAATGTAGATGCTTTGATTTTCTTCTCACCATTTAGCCCATCAAATGGACCTTAAATAGTCATCAGAACACTATGATTTCAAAAAGGGTCATTTGTTTTCTAATCAATTAATTAGCCAGGTTCAGGGGAAAGAGTTGAACACTGAACATTGCCTGGATATTTAAGGCAAAATTAATCTTGCAAGACATTAATTTGTGTTGACACTTTTATGCTTGTTTTAACTATTCATTGTTCCACTAACTTTATTATTCAACTCTTGTCAATACTTTAAACCTTATTACCATCAACATGATGATTATCAACTAATGACACTATTTAAAGGCGATTTTACTGTTAACTCTCGATTAACTCTGATGATGGAGAGTAAGGACAATCATTTTGATACTTTCAAATGTATAATGAAAGACGGTTATAAGGTTAGCCAATGAGGATATAATAGTGTCAATGATAATGATGATGATGATGGTGTTGCTGATGATTATGTCTATTATGGAGGTTTTAAAGGTCCGTTAATTATTACATGTTGATCAAACAATGAAAAATGGCAACCAATTGAATCGTTGTTTAGTTTACTTTGACATTTAATAGCTCCATTCCCACCTCATTTCTTGAACATGAGTTTTTCGTCACCCAATTTTTACCAGGAAGATTGAAAATTAAATTTATTGTCATCTATAAGAATAAAAATAACATGAATATCAACACAAAAAAAGAGGTAATTCAAAGTGTTGGCAGGGAAAAGCAAAAGTTGCGTTAAAAAAAAGGGAAAATCAATTAACAAAGCAACCGATCATTTTTTAAAATTAGAACCAATTGGGAGACAATCAAAATTTTTGCTTTAATTAGCGAAAAAAAAGAGCAATACTTCAATGATCATATTTAATTACAATTTAACTGCAATTAAATTGTAATCTGCATTTTTTTATTTCTTTCTAATCTTAGTCAGTTGAAAGATAATCCATTTGCAATTGAATATATTTCACCCCAAAAATGCGTTTATATTGGATGAATAATCATTGAAATTGCAGTTAAATATTGGATTATTTTCAATCAGCTATCATCTCGTTTAATTAAAAACCAATCAAAATGATAATTGAATGTCAATAATTGCTTAAATCACTAGATGGTTAAACAGCTGGAAATGTTGCAAATTTACAGCTTGAAAAATATAAAACTGTTGGTCTGACAAAATTTAAATCTAATCCAATGAATGAGATTTTGGTTTAATTGGTTTGATTTTCAATCCTTTATCCTTTAATGATTTAATCTAATTTTACTTTATTCATTTCAACACAGGATCGCGATGCAACTCCATACTTGGAACGTAATCGTCTTCGTCCTCCTAATGCTGATGCTGTTGATGCCGCTGGTGCCTTAACTGATATGGGTAAATACCTTTACCGTGAGGATAGATTGCCGACTTATGATTTAGCTGTGGTGATAACTAAACTTGATATGTGTCGCCGACGTTACGAAGGAGGTCGATGTAATCGTGGTACAGCTGGTTTTGCCTATGTTGGTGGAGCTTGTGTTGTCAATAAACGACTAGAAAAGGTTAACTCAGTTGCAATTATTGAAGACAGCGGAGGATTTTCTGGTATCATTGTTGCTGCCCATGAAGTTGGTCATTTGTAAGTTACAATTTCTACTTTCATTTTTTTCAAATTTTAATTTCTTTTTCATTTTGTTTTTCTCTCAAGACTGGGATGTGTCCATGATGGATCTCCACCACCAAGTTATTTGGGTGGACCTGGAGCTACACGATGTCCATGGGAAGATGGCTTCATTATGAGTGATCTTAGGCACACTGAACGTGGATTCCGTTGGTCGTCTTGCAGTGTTGAACAGTTTAAACATTTCCTTAAGTAAGGATATAATCTTTCAATAATGTCAATACTTGGCTAAATTAGATTACATCTGTTTCTGACGAATTGATTGAATGATAATTATTTATAATTAATATATGGTATTATTATTGAGATGAATGGTGAAATTACAGTAATACGAGTAGTTGGGAAAGAAAGGAAAACAGGGGATGAAAATTGTTGGTAGGAATGAAAGAGAGAGTACACTTTATGTGTTAAAAGAGTTCAATAGATTTGTTGTTGCGTTTCATATTATATTATAAATACGTGATGAAAACAAACTACTAAACGTTATTGTGTTATTTACTGTTGTCCAATTGTTTATTCCCTTAAATAGCGGTGAAACAGCGACCTGTTTGTACAATTATCCGCACGAAAACCAGCTCCTTCCAAGAGTCCTGCCTGGCACCATGCTCACGCTTGATGAACAATGCAAACGAGATAGAGGAACCAATGCTTGCTTTGTAAGTATAATAATAATAATGATAATATTTAACAACATTTACGAGTTGAAAACAAAGTTAGCCTTTTAGTTATTCATCATTCAACGATTATTGATGATTATGATTATACTAATGATGTTGACCTTTTTTGATCTCTTTTTTTCCTTACAAACTTACAGAAAGATGCTCGTGTTTGTGCTCAACTTTTCTGCTTCGATTCAGCCTCTGGTTACTGTGTATCTTATCGGCCAGCTGCAGAAGGATCTCCGTGTGGTGATGGACAGGTACGAGTCAATAAGATCAGGAAATCAAAAAATAAAATGAAGAATCAGAGAAAAGTGAACAAAGTGGAAAATCTTTTGATGGATCATTTTTGCCTTTTGGATTAGGGAAAGAAATGTTTTTTTTTCGGTGAAAGTGACCAAGTTTCGTTATGTATTTAGTAAGGTCATTGTTCGGTAGAGATCTTTCTCATCAACTTGATCATTCTTTTGTATTGACAATCGCTGTTCATGATTGTAAGATGAAAGAGCAAGTTAAGAGAGAGAGAGAGAAGGAGATGCTTATTGAGCTGATCACTTGGAATGAAAATAACGGGAATAATACGTGTAGGAAGGAGCGGAAAATTGCTCGAATCATGTCAAACTGTAGATGAATTATAATCATATTTGATGGTGAAAAAAGAAGAGAAACAGCAACTAAGTTAAAAATGATTCTTTTTATTTTCTTCCTCCTTTCTCTTTCATTGATCGTCGTCAGCTTTTTACTCTTTCTTTCAATCATCATTGCAGTTTTTCCCTTCTAACCTTACTCTCATCTGTACACACACCACACATAAAATAATAGTAAGGATAGCACGGTTCTTACCAGTAGATCGAAAAAATGTTTCTCTTTCTATTTTAAAAGTTATTCACCAAAACATTGACACCGATCCAAGGAATTGAGTTTCTTTCCCTTCTTCTCAAACACATCTCTTTTTGCCTTCTCTTCAATCATCATTTTCATATCTTTCGGTATCTTCTTCTATTCTCTCGCCATCTTCACCTTTTTCAGATACATCAACTTGTTCCCTTCTTTTTGCTACTCACTTCTCTTCATCTCTTCATCTTATTTTTGATTCTTTTACCTTCCTTTTCGCATTGTTCTTACCTTTTTCACTTTCCCTTTTCTTTTGCCATCTTTTTTTACTTTTTTCCTGAAAACTGGACACTTTGAATCAACTTTTGTCTCTATTCTCATTTTTACTTTTTCTTCTTCTTCTTCTCTTTCCCTACCTTTTACAATCCATTTCTAATTGATTATTTTTCTCATTCTATTCTTAGGTTTGTCGAAATGGTAAATGTCAAGCTGAATTGGAAAACATTATTCCCGATTATACCCATGTAACTCAGACAATCAGTCGATCACCAAACTCTCGATCAAATGAAAATGTTAACAATGACAACTCGGTTCCAGCAAGCATTTCCCGTAGAAGCTCAGCTGCTCGTCCAAAATCGCGGTCTTCTTCCGTTAGACCAAATTTAAAATCGTCTCCCGGTGATAGCCTTTCATCGGTATCATCTGATTGCCAGGATAATGTTGAAAAAATAGGTGGCTCTATGAGCTGTGCACAGTTTCTTGAAAAATATAGTTATCGTTATTGTAATCATAACTACGTTAAACGCCATTGCTGTGCATCTCATGCACTTCTCTGCAGCTCAGAGTGATTATGGGTTCAAGAGAAGCATTTAGACAATCAGATAATTATTGGATAAACTGGCCAAATTTGTCCTTGTTAATTGTGCTGCCTTTAAAAATCTCTCTCTATCTTTCAATCCCTTCTTCCCTTTCCTTGCTCTTTTACTATCTGCCTCCAATTTTGTTGATATTTTTTTCCCAAAAACAAATTTCAATTCAATCTCTGTCCATGTTTATGATGTCCAAAAAACACCAATCAACAAAACAATCAATCTGTAAATAACTACTTTTTGGCACGATCGACTTTTTATATACATATACATAACATTATTTATGAAATTGAAAGAAAACAAGAACAAAACAAAAATTCAAACTTAGTCATCAATTTTTCATTCACTTTCAAATCGTAATGTATCTTCTTCTTCCTCTTCTTCCTCTTCTTCTTCTTCTTCCTAATCTATTTATTTTTCTCCCTCTCTCACTGTTAGATTATTTCAAATGAATTTTCCTCTTTTTTAATCAATCACAATCTTTCCTCAATTTATATTCAAAGTTTTTGTTTAATATTTGTATTATTATTATTACCTTTTTTTCAATTGAATTTTACCAAATTTTCTTACAAAATTTTACCTTTTTCTTGTAGTTAAGCTTTTTTTTTCTTGTCATGAAATGAAATGAAATGCCAGTTTTACATCAACCCAAATAGATGAGGGTTAGAATGAAGATGATGGTGATGATGATGGGATTGAAGGAGGCAGAACGGATGGTTTGGATGATCATTTTTACTATGATGATGAACCTGATGTATTTGTAACGATCCAATGATTGGTGTTACGGTGGAAAAGACAAATGAAGATGAAAATGAGTATTTACTTTTCTTCTTCTTCTTCTTCTTCTTCTTCCATTTAAAAGGCCGGAGGATCCGTTTTGAATTATTCTGATGCATGATTAGCCAACGATGACCTTGCCTGATTGTGATTGAGTGTAAAGCGAACAATACTGAATTAGTTGATTTGGTTGTGTTTTTGCTAGAAAACTGGATTTACTCTGATGACATCCATTTTCATCATCATTTTCATCATCGTCGCCATCATCTTTGTCTTTCTTCATCGCCACCGTATTTGAAATGTTGATCATTCACTTGCAATGGATTAGCATTCAACCACAATTACAATAATACAATTAATCTTTTCACACAATTGAGAACCATCAAGAGTATACTTTTACCTCTTTTAAGTTACAACAAAAATTGTTCAACATTCATTTCTTATTGTCTTTCAATTGTTTCATTTTCATTCCCAATTTAATTAGATAATTACTAACAATTGTTAATGATATTTAAATCTAATTGTCCTTTTTTTTGTCAAGCAAAATTGTCCTTTTAGATCAAAAACAACAACAAAATTGAAACTTGTAGTGTTTTTACAAATAAGTCAACCTTTCTTGCATGTAAACATCCTTGTCCATACAGATTGATCCATTGAACAGTTAATACAATTTAGTGATTACAATTCAAAAACCTTTTATTTTATTATCTTGATTGCAAACATGATTACCTTTCATACCTTGAAGTAGATATAAAAGTGAATATTTTAATGTCAATACGGTATAAAAATGTATTGATTAACCTGCAATTTTTTATGGACCACACCAAACGTTCATTCAATGAGATGCCTTTTTTCAGATCACAACAATATCAAACATAATCATCAGTTTTGCTTCGTGCTGATTTTTTTTTCTTCAACTGTTGTTAAAGTTAGCACTTGAACAAAAAGCAGCAACCTTCCTTCAACTGCTACTGTTATACCAAACTACACTAATGCTCATACATTTGCTTACCTTTTTTGGTGTCTTTTTTTCAAACTGTTGCTGCTTTTTGTTGTTGATTGTCTTAAAAAGATTCCTTTACTTGATTATGATGAAGATGAGAATAATGTTGTTGTTGTTGTTGTTGTTGATGATGATGATGGATGAAATTGTTCATTTCAATCTTGCTGTAGGTTTGGTTCTTTTCAGGTAAATTTGGTCTAAAGATATTGCTGCTTTGTTCAACTTTGGTTTGCTGTCCTTTTTTTGCTGCTGCTTTACACATTAAGGGTAACATATTGAAGTGTATATAAATACAATAATAATGATACACAATCATTTTGTTAACTTGTTGTATAATAGCAATGAGATAATGATGATCAAATGTGAACAATTGAATGACATTGTCTTTGTTTACCTCTTTTCCTTCATTATTGATTTTATTACCTTTCTTTTTCATCCAAAAATTCAGAACAATTTATTATCCTTGAGATAATCAACTAATTGATTGGTTGAAAAATAAGATTGATATTATTTCAACGACGCCAACTTGATTGCGCTCATTGCCATTTTACTCTCACTTAATACCATTGACTTGTTATTGGTTAGGCCTTATTATTATTCACAATTAGCTCATCATTTGTATTTGCACCTTTTTGCTCAGATTGCGCCTTGCTTTTGTTGATATGGGTTAATATACTTTACATGAACGGTCCATCGATGAAAATTTTGATGCGTGATGTTTGACTTTAATTTTTACATTTATGCACAATCAGTTGCTGCTTATTGTTGTCCGATGTCAGTGAATAATATTACATTATATAAATGATTTACTAATCAAGTTTGGGTGCATGATTGAGCATTACTTTTGGTTCTGTTGAATTGTTAATGTGACAAAAAATGATTGGTAAACATTGAAAGGTTAACCTGATGATTTAATTTCCTCTCCTTAACATCTGATGCTATTTTCACTCTAATTTTTATCGATATTATTTATAAGGCATTTCAAGGGCAAGTAACAAGTCATCAATAAGTGTTTAGGAGTAACAATTAGGTGTAAATTGGGAAAAGTTGGCCTTTCGCAATACGATAATTACTCTAAATTTGGTTTGTTTAATCAGCATTTATTTTTGTTAAAAATGCTCATTTACGTAGGTTATTGAATAATCAAATTGTGATCGATTCAGTGCGGGGTGGTCACAATTAAAAAGCGCGCTTCAAATACTATCCATACGAACCTTACCAAATGATTTAAGATCAAATTAATTGAAAAAACAATAGGCTGCTTCGATCATGGCTGATCATTCTTTTGACTGTTAAATTGTCGGTTTAAATTTACCCAAATCTCTTTGCATATTTGGATTTATCGTTGACAAAATCGAAGTGGCCTGTTGTACAACATCGGAAAATTACATTGAAATAAGTGCCCTTTCATATTGGTCGTAGATACATTAATTGGTGCATTCGTTTGCCCTGCATTTGTAACTAAACGAAAAGGGTTCTGTGAAAATTTTTCGATCAAACGATGGCAAACGATGGCATTGACTACTGGGACGAAAAATAGGTTTAGCATTCATGGAATTCAGGTTCCAGAGAAAAGCGTATTCAGATACTTGATGCGACTATTTTCGGCCACTTTATCTACCACTTTTTCAATTTCCTTTTTTTCATAAGATTTTCCACCATTCAAATGCAACAAATTGTTCATTGCTTTCGGATATGATCAATATGATGGTGTTGGATAGGAAATGCATCAAATCTGTGTAGTGGGCAATATCGGGAAAATCGGTAAATAAAGGGCTCGATGCGTTGAAAAAACCAGTCCCCTTGATGGAGTTTTAGAGACATGAAAGCTGGACCAATTTGTGTAAACAAGCAGTATGTGAGAAAAATTCATTTAGAGTTAAGAGTTGGACTTTGTTGGTTTGTAGGGGTATAAGAACTGAGTCCATTAGTGCTTTGAAAAAATTTTATGATCGAAAGTTGTTGATCGAAAGATCTTGAGAAAATCGAGGTCAGAGTTGAAACTTTCATGCTTTTTTGTATAGTTATTGAACCAGGTTTTTCCATAAAATTCTATTTCCTGGTGTGACTCTCAATGACCAATCAAAAAATACATTTATTTTGGCAATTAAAATTTTTGTTATCACAGATCACTTCGATTTTAGGATAAACCTGACGCTGCGAGCGATTGTAAGAGTTAAAGAGATGAAACTTATTTTTCGCTGGTAAAATTGGTGAACATCAACATCCGAACAATTTTCAATTAATCAACATTTCTATTGATTTTGCTCATTGGCCTTAAAATTTTGAGCCTCAATGCTTCAAGAACCTTCATCAATCTCTCATCAATTATTATATTTTCCTATGGGCTTTATTATAATATGACTAAATGTCAGAGAAAGTTATCAAAGTGTTCAATCGTTAATGAACACCAACTATTAACAGGGCATACACTGCCATCTATTGGCTATTTCACCTAACTTTCAGTTTGACACGAAGTGACTGTAAATGTTGAACAATAGATGGCATACTGTTAGCCTCTTTTTCATCTGTCCAGATTAAATTGATCTACGCTTTGTGGATATTGTTTAAACTGACATTCACTATCAACCATTTCTTTGGCCATTTTTGATAATTTATTTAATTTAATTTTGTCGACATCTAATTTTTTGTGTGTATTATTTTGATTGACTGTTCTACTGACGCAAGTAAAACTTAATTTAAACAAAATGGCATGCTATGTTCAGGTTTGTGAGAATGAAACTTCTGAGCCTATTGAATTACCTATTCAAGAAGATGGAACCATGCTGTTGACAACTCTAACTTCTCAATTTCCCGGTGCCTCCGGGTTGAGATATCGTAATGAGGAGACTGGGACGATGAGAGCTGTGAGTTTGGTTGAAAATAAATTTCAAGCTCCAGATAAGGGATGGTCAAAGATTTCAGTATACTATGTTGTGTTTCCTAAAGGTAGCCTTCCCCCCTTTTCTGCCGGTTTCCCATAGAGAACTGTTGGTTATCATTTTGCTCTATTCTCCTTTCCTTTCTTTCCTAGGTGATAACAAAAGAAAGAGTGATGATGTATCTGATGAAGAGTCAAGTGTGAGGAAAAAGCCTACCAAATGTACTGATCTGATTGTGCTTGGTTTGCCGTGGAAGACAACTGAAACTGAGTTGAGAGAGTATTTTGAGCAATTTGGTGAGCTTTTAATGGCTCAGGTTAAAAAAGATCCTGAGACTGGTCTTTCCAAAGGATTTGGCTTTATTAGATTTGGTGACTATGATACCCAGAAGCAGGTTATTCAGAAACGTCACAATATCGGTGGACGTTGGTGTGATGTGCGTATTCCGTTGTCGAAGGGTGATGCTTACAGTACAGAGTATGATCGCAAGATTTTTGTTGGGCGTTTGACTGAGGACATTACAACTGAAGATTTGCGTGAATATTTCTCCAAGTTTGGTGATATAACTGATGTGTTTATTCCAAGACCATTCCGGGCTTTTGCTTTTGTTACGTATGAGTCGGAAGTTTCTCAGAATATCTGTGGTGATCACATTGTGAAAGGAGTTTCTCTGCATGTCAGTAACGCTGTGCCAAAAAGTGAGATGAGCTCTAACAGATTTTCTGTAAACAATCATTTCAGCCCTTATGGCCCTGGTAATCAGATGAGTAAAATTTCTCACGGTGGAATGCCACCAATGAGTAATCCTACTTCTAGGTACTCCCATCAGCCCTACTACTCATCTTATGCCGCTCGTCGAGCTACTTACGGATCCCAACCTTTGCCCCGAAGACTTGACTAATGCTTGGTCATGCATACACAGAAAGCCATTTCATAATCAATATGCTCACCAATAACACAGATTTTTCTATTCTGTCCTTTTCTCTACCAATTAGCCCACTCTCATCAATCTTTACACTTATATGTCTGATGATTTTTCCTATACATCTCATTACCAATATTCCCATACTCTTTAAATCTTGTCCTAAATCATTTAGCTTTCACTTTTCCTCCCTAATCATCCTTTTTTATTAACTTCTCATCATTACTTTGGAGCAAATTGTCCACCGTGACTCTGACTGTTCCCCTTTCCTCGTCATCTATGTTTATCAATCCTTCTTTAATTGTAATAATGTGCAAGATCAAATATTGATCTTGTCGGTCAGATTCCCTTCAAATTATGAAAAGCTGTTCCATCAATGAATTCAATGTATTTATGGGACTTAATAATGCGATCCAATCTACAATTTTGATTGTTAAAATTTTCATGATAAATTCGAGGACAGTAAAAGATTGAAAAATGTGGATAAAAAATACTCAGTTTCCCATTCGTAATGTCAGCTGAAAATTAAATTGCTATTGAATGATAAAATCAATTGTTTACACAATTTGAAGATAGTCAAAATTGAATCCAATGACAGAGCTAACTAGATCAAGTTGATTGTGGTAAAAGAATCTTCACTATATTTATTATCCTATTAAGACTTTCCAATACAAGAGCTTACACAATTTGATACATAACAAAATTCAATGATAATTAATACAATTGAAGATGAGTTACACACTAATCATATACATGTATTTGTCAATTTAAATGTACCAAGGTAAGAACAATACTGATCAACCGAAAATTGATCAAATTTATGAAAGCTTTTGATAATAAAATAATTATGCGCTCGTAAAAATAATTTACTAAAACTTAGCCAAACGAATTAACCATTCTTGCTTTACACCTGAAATGAAACACTGAGAGTCAATGGTTAACAATTTCATGTTGCATTGCTACCATAATTTTAATTTTTAATTTTCAAGATTCAATATTCAATTTAATTTTTTTATAATCTAAGAAATTTTAAACTTAAGGTTAAACCTAACAAATTAAATTGCCAATTTTCATCACAGATTGTGAATTTTAACACAAACAGCATGAAAATACTACTCAGAGAGTGCCTTACGCCCTGAACATAAGCCTCTGATTAATCAGTGAATTATAAATTAACATTAATATTATGATAAGATGGATTGGTGTGAGAGGCATTGGTTGATAAGCTAACATATGATTGATGCTCTGACAGTAAATGTTTATTTTTAAGCTTTAAATTTTAATTGTATTCAAGATTTTCCATTTTTCGTCCCTATTATTGATAAATTGTTACTTGTATTAATGTAAATAATGGATTTGGATGTTAGATTAGAAAGTTTATGAATTGATTTAATACAAAGATTGTGTGTACCCGAAAAGGCGATCAAAATTTACATTCAAATGAAATGGTCAATTAAAATCTTTTTTCTCGGTTTTCACTTTGATATAAACTTGGATCAAGTTGATTGTTAAATTACACATACATAGTCCAGATGTGTTTAATACAAGCAACATCGGGATCATAAGTCATGGCCATGGTTTGAACTCGATACCCTAAAAGTTGGAACCAGTCAAGAACACAGATATCTGGATATTCAAATTTATAATTGTAATAATTGAAATTGGTAAACTTGAGAGGTTCATCAATAATCCTTAAAGCTCTCAACTTTTGAATTATATTGGCATCTCGAGTTGTTACATATGTTGGACCATCCGTTCGACTCTCATAACTGGAAACAAGCAAATACATTCTTCCAATACTGGCCACAGGTCCACCTCCACCTCCACCAAGAACACCAAGATTCGACGGTCCACCAACAATTCCAATTCGTTTAACCTGACTGTTTATGGGTGCCGAGACACTTGAAATCAATTGATGAGGATGCTGGGAACGGATCAATGTTGATGCTGAAGGTGGACCTCCACCAGCACCTCTACCTACACCCCCAGCTTGATGGCCGTAATGGTGCAAGTGATGATGTTGATATAAATGGGAATGCTGCAAATGATGATGTGCACCAGTTGATGAATGTGGATGTGCACCAGTTGGTAATCTTGGTTGATTGTGATACTGAATTGTCGATGAGCCAGATGAAGATGAGGGTTGGATTGGAAGGCGAGTTTGAAATGTTCCCACTCCTCCTGATCCAGTACCAATAGAGGAAGAAGAGGAGGAAATAATATTGGTCGTGGATGTGGAGGAGGGGGAGGAATTGGAGATTGATTGGCGCGGAATTGTGAAGATGGTTATTTGGGACACTGATGATGGATTTAAGGTAGACAGTTTGATTGATTGGGTGAGTTTCCGATCATTCAACACAAAACCAAATAAATATTATGAAACAAGCTTCATTTGACCAAATTTACTTCTTCATAGGTTTGGTTAGACTTCTTCTTTCTGTCTATTTTTCCTTTCTATCACTCTTTCGCTTCACTCTCCTCCTTCATCTTATCATTTCCCTCTCTTTACATCTTCAGCTTGAACACATTGGTTACTTCATAGAGCATCTCATCAACTAATCGATTGAATTTCAAATAACAATCCTCATGCTTAACCATCTCTTCACTAGGTTTGCGCTTTTCATCTAAAGATACTTACCAAATCGTCTCAGGAGCTGATTCAATCATTTATTAATATTTATTTTATTTTCATTCTCGATCAAACCAACAATCAGTTCAAAGATGGAAAACATGGGATCGTTTAGAGTCTGAAATGAAATGAACATTTTTAACATAATGGCTAAATTAAATTACATACATTATGTATTATCTTGCCAGGTTAACTTGAATGATTTTTAGAAACAACAATTTCTTATATTTGTTATCTTTGAGGTTTAAACTTGAAACATTGACTGGGCATCATGAAGGAATGATTAGGCAATGGTTGAAGCAATTTAATACAGATTAACAGGTAATCTGCAATCTTTATTAATGTAAACAAGGTTGTTTATTTGTTACCACAAGATTTGCTCGCAAGGTTGGTTTAAGAGAGTTGAAAGCGAAATCAATTGTTTCAATGAAAATTATTCGTTAGTTTTACGGTAAATCCCAATTTGCTTTCTCAGATAATGGCTTATCTGAAACGTGAACTCCTGTCATCGTCAAAATTATAATCCTTCTCGGAGTAAATTTTTTATCAATTAATTGATAAAAGCCTTAGTTTAAATATGACCCAGATTCAACAACTATTGTACAATAGTTTGTTTACACTATTTGAGGTGATGAATTAGCATAGTTATCGCTTCAAAAAGCAAAAACATTTTGATTCGATTCAAGGTAAACAAGAATATTGAGTTTTCCAACTGAACAATTATTCTTCTTCTTTTGATTTTTTGCAGTTAGTCAATGGGCTTAAATTGTAATATTTCATCATCTCATCTCGTCTTATTCATTCCGATCTTTCAGGAATTCGTTTTCTGCTGGAGAGGACATTCCTACGAAATCACTGCTAACACAATATCACGAAATAATCGGCATTAAATGATGATTGAACTTTAACCATTACTGCGTAACTGTGTTTGCTTGTTTATTGTCAAATCTGAAGAAAGACTTTCAAGCTGCTCCATCTACAAGTTATTATTAAAGTTACAGTTGAAGGAAGAAAAACAAGTTGTGTACAACTGTAACCTTCCCTATTTAGGTTTACATTTTATGTGTACTTCTCTGAATTCAATGTATATTTTTATTTATTTATGAATTGTTAACCCTTTCAAATATTTATTTGACCCTTTGGTCATTATGTCAACGGTATGTTTAACCAATAAATTGAGTTTAATTGGTAAAGCCGTAAGACATGTTAATAGGTTAAAGTGTGATAAAAAGTTTCTGAGAATCATCAGCTGTTCACCTTGTATTTTATGTGAAAAAATTCAATATTGTAATTTTAGTGATTATAAAAAAGATGATTCATCAAAAAAAGATAAGTTATCATTGCCCAACTCATCAGATACACCAACTTCATCTTCAGCAAGTAACATAACAAAATTATCTGAGAAAAAATCATCAGAATCATCAGAGGAAACCAAAGATGAGAAGACAAATTTCGCCCAAGAGTCAGTTATAAAAGGTATTGTCAATTTGATAAGTATCAAATCACAATCATTAATAGTAATAGCATAAAATAATATCCTAACATAGATATTAACTATGAATTATTTCATCAATAGTTGTACATAGATCAAAGGAACGTAAAAAATTGGATCTAACTCAAGCAACAACAGAACGAAATTTTGTAACACCAGTTAGAGCCATGAATGATTATTTATTGAAACCATCGGATTTGCAAGATTTGAGGAAATTTATCCGTCGAAGTCCATTTGATGATACGCCACCGATAACAGTTTATTTGAGACGTGATGTTGAAGCTCGAGCTCTACAAGTTTGGGGCAGTTTTGAGGTTCTTGAAAAGGAAAGAAAAAAACGTAAACAAATCGAAGCTGATGCTAGAGAATCGATTTTAAATGTCAAACGTATTCTTAAAGATTATCGTCGACTTAATGATCCAGTAGCAATTGAACGCGATATTAGTTTACGTGAAAGTGGACATGTTGTTTGGACAGCAGTTGTAATAAATTCAATGAATTTTCTGTTAAAATCAATGGCTTGGTTTCATACAGGATCACATTCGCTTTTTGCTGAAGCAATTCATTCCCTAGCTGATACAATTAATCAGCTGATACTTTACTTTGGTATACGTAAATCAATTCAACGGCCTAATGCTGAACATCCATACGGCTATCATTCAGCGCAATATATTGCATCATTAATTTCCGGTGTTGGTATATTTTGTGTCGGTAGCGGTCTTTCATTTTATCATGGGATGCAAGGAATACTTCACCCAGAGAGTTTTCAGTCATTCTATTGGGTATTTTTGTCTTTATTTTCCACCAAATCATCATAATTAATATTGCTTTTGCTGCTGCTATTTTTAGGCATATGTTATCCTTGCTGGTTCACTTATTTCTGAAGGAGGAACTCTTACGGTAGCCCTCAAAGGACTTTATAAAGGAGCCAAAAGAGCTGGAACAACTATGAAAGAATACAGTTAATTTCGTTTCATTACACTTATTACTTTTATTGATTTATTTGATTTATTCTGCTAACTTATCAATCATTTTATTTTTATAGTTCTAAGAAGTCAAGATCCAAGCATAAATGTTGTACTATTGGAAGATACCGCTGCTGTTTTAGGTGTTGGTATTGCTGCAACTATGATGGGCTTAACTGCATATACTGGGAATCCTCTTTATGATGCTGCTGGGTCTCTTCTAGTCAGTGGACTGCTTGCTTCAGTTGCTTCATTTATTATTTACACCAATAGTGGGGCATTAGTTGGTCGATCTATTCCCGTTTATAAATTAGATGATATAAACAAATTGATGGAAAATGATGTTATGATTCGAGCGATTCATGATGTTAAAGCAACTGATTTGGGCAATGGAATGGTTCGTTATAAAGCAGAAGTAGATATCGATGGCCGACAACTCACTCGACACTATTTAGATGCAATTGATTTGGAGGTGGTACTTCAAGTAAGTTGCCTTCACTCTCTTTATTACATTGCACCTCCTTTGACATTGACTTCAGGGTACTTTCATGCAAATTACTCTAATTTTCGTGACTCACGATTTAACTTACAATTCTACTGATTTACAGCCATCTGTTATAGCTATAGAATAATCAAATATTAATTTAATATACAAAACTTTATTATCAAATTAACCTGGAATCATTTCTCTCTGCGATAACTTTTTTTCATTACATTTGTTTTTACATTTTTCAGGAAATGAAAGAGCTGAAAACCATTGATGAAGTTGAAACATTTTTCCTTAAACATGGTGAAAACATCGTCGACCTTCTTGGAGCTGAAATAGACAGAGTCGAAAAAGAGCTTAAGGTAATCCACTTTTTTTCAAATCAAATGTAATTTGGATTATTAACTAATTTTTTCTTCTTTTTTATTTATTGTCTAACAGAAAAAACACCCTCAACTTCGACACGTTGATCTGGAAGTCCTGTAAATATTAGGATTTGAATCGGAAATTCCAAAAAAGAGATTGTGGGAAAATTATGGTTTAAAAATAGCCTCATAATTTAATTTTTATGTTTTATCAGAATTATCAGCTTTGAATCAAAAATTTAAATCCAAAATAAATCTTTGCTATAACCAAATACGTGGTGAAAATTTTATTGGAAATTACGCTAAGCACTACCAGTAAAGCTTACACGTATCAGAACTTTTTAAGCTAATTTATCCTCAATTGTTTATACTTGATTTTCACGAAATATAGTCTTTCTAAACGCGTAAAATATTAATATTTTTAGATATTGCCTCCCCTTTTATCCACAGCAAAGATTATTGATTCACTATTGTTATCAAGTATCAAGTTGACATGGATTTAAGAAGTTATTTTTAAAAGAATGATGAATAACCTGGGCTTCAATTGTAGTCTCGCAAAATAAATATTATGCTATTTATTTTGAGCTGCAATCTTAGTTTATCTCTCGGTCTTTACTTTATCTAGTTTGTATCGATTTAATGTTGTAATTAGCTATTTCCGTTCAGTAAAGTTCACGATATCTGACCGATGTAATTTGATGAAAATATCTTTCCATAACGCTTGTTTAATAGCTAAGCATTAATAAACAATATCTATCCATAAATTTGTTTTTAAAAAATCAGTCTAGTGGTAGAAATGAGGAAATCAGATAGAAATTAAATAATTTGCTCTTCTCTCTGGATGAATGATGCATTGATGAATCTTCAAGGCTATTTGTCAGCTTCTTTTCAATCTTTCATTTTTCTTAGATATTTCTAGCAATTAACGATTTTCATAAATCAAATTAGTAGTCAAGATATACATTAGCATATATTTATATAACTGCAACTTGCGTTTGACCAATTAACATTCTCAACGGAACCAAGTAAATTAATTCCATTCGATTTTGTTTTATGATAATCTTTTAAGAATTTCTCTCATTTTCGTTATTTTTACATGAAAGAAAAAAAAATGATCATGATGCAGGAAGAAGATACCTGAGCAGATCAGGAACATATGGGAGAGATTAGAAGGGAAGCAATTCGAACAGTTCAAAGAACAGAAAGGAAAAAAGTTTAGCAGATTAGATGAAATAAAGTGAAGGTGAAGGTTTAGGAGAGAAAAGGTAAGGTCAAGGAAAAAAAATGAAAGATGAAGAGAAGGAAAAGAAGGAGAGAACAAAATAGTCAATCTTTGTTTGGTTGGTAGTTGATTAATAATTCCCTTCGATTGATGCTGCTTTTAAGATGAGAGTAGATGGTGAATCTCCGTTTTGGATGATTGCTGGCTGTTTATTTGGTAAGTTTTTTTTCGTTTTTTGTTTTCAAATCAACGCTTGATTTGATGGGTTGTTTGATTTACATTTTATTTTCGGTGTTTTTTGTATGAATTTGGTAGGGTATGCGTAGTGTGATGTATTATATGTGTTTTTTAATATTTTATCTTTTTGTTTGCCTCACTCCATCGTTATGTTGTATTTGATAATTCAAAACTAGCAGCTTTATTCTATGGTATTTCCTAAGAATTATCAGGCGATGATGGCGATGGGTTTGCCTTTTTTGACTCTTTCTCTTCCTCCTCATTGAAATTAAGCCAACTTTGTTCAACTATGGCCGCTACTCTTTTCTCATATTCCCTACGGTTCTCTTGATACAATTGGGCTGCCAATGAGTTTGCAGGTGAGTTAGGATTAGGTTCATCTAAGAGCGATTGAATAGAGGTCAAAATGGCTGAAACGTCATAAGTTGGTGACCATCGATTTTGTAGAATATCTAAACATATACTTCCATCAGCATAGACTGTAAAATTAAAGAAAAACAAATAAAAATCAGTATCAGATACAAGGACGATGAGATACAAAATAAACAGAATAAATAATGACAACAAGATAGTAAAAACACAACCCATCACAATTTCTTCAAAAAAAGAACAATAATTTTGAGTTCAACCGAAATTCAGACATTTTAAACTAACGGTTTTCAAGGCCATCCCTGCGTCATTACAATATAGTTTAAGATGCTATTGGCAAAAGAAAGTGAAACATGGTAGCAACACAATGCAAAAAGACGTAACTAAAGCTGTCGTTAGTGGGAATTTCTATTTCTAGTAAGCTTGCAATCTGATGAGCACAAAGTAGGAATAGGTTTGTTACTGATTGGCTAATTATACAGACTTCCGAATTGAAATAAGGAAAGGTTGCATCAGCAGTGATAGAAAAAATTTGATGCAACCAATGGTTAATACGATTTGCGACAACTGTAGGAACTTTGGAGATGCGGCCTTGACTAAAATTAGGAGATGGAGTAGAAACGTGTAGGAAGTCGCTTTATGCTTGAAGAAATCGTGGATGGATGGTGGTCACTATTAAAAAACAAAGGTCCAACAAATTTGCTATAAAATGATCCCTACCATTAGGATGAAACATTTTGGACACAAAGCGCACAGTTGGTGGCTTATTGGGATACTCTTCCGTGAATTCAAGGGTCAGCTTGAAAGTTCCATCTTCAAATGGGGTGTCATGAGGCCTGGAGAATGTATTGAAAAAGAAATCGTTAGAAAATATTCAAATAAATAAATGACTCTCATAGGAATAAGATTGGTTGGAAGGCCTGATGTATTGTAAGAAAGCATTGTCCGTTGCAGACATAAAAGGTTGTTGATGTTGCCTTCGCTTATCGGATGATCTCGATATATCATGGAAAAGGTATTCAACGAGAAACATTACCCGAATATAACAGCATTCCAGATCATAATATTATTGTCTGTGGGTGCACCAGAAACACCAGCAGGAGGATCTTCCTGGAGCCTGACAAGAGAAAGATCATAAGAAAACGAGGGTTATAATTACAATTTTAATCATGAGACTCAGGTAAATAGGAAAGCAGTAAATAACAGACAGGTTATTAAGGATATTTTTGCTGCTGGAGGATAAGAGGTGATCAATAAATGATTCATTCATAGCCAAAAAATAGAAAAATGGATGATTATCACTGAATAACTGTGAAATAATATAATGGCACCTTTTACGTTATCCTATCAAAAAAAATGCTAAATTGAAACGAGAAAAAACCCATCAGATAGGGAAACACGACTACCTAGGCATTGAAAGTCCTTCATAAAAGGATAAAGTATGTAGAAAATACGTATGGATATGGGCTTATAGCAAGGTTGAGGGTTAATTTGTGTATTTCATCTGCTGATTTGGTCAAGGATGAATCGATGAAAAATTGTTATGGTGAGGAAAGGATGAGGACCTAAGAATTTTTATTAGAAACGGTAATTAAGATCAACTGTACCTTTTAAAATCTCTCATTAATCTTCTTCTGGCTGGAGTTGACATCACTGAAGGTTGATTAGACTTTTGATGATTGGCCTTTAACTTACACCACCACAAAACAAAAACAGGAGAGAAAATATAACAAGGAGAGGATAAAAAAAGAGAGAATGATGAAGATAGTTAAAGAGGGAGACAGTTGACTGTATCAATGACGATGCAGTTGAGCTTAAAAAAGAGTGGCTTCTGAAAGATGTGTTTTTTTATTTCTTTAGAACCGAATTTCCTTTTTTGTTGTTCCTGTGTTTAATACACTTTAATTATGTTGATCAAATCAACCTTACTTGATTTGAGAGCTTTAAGGACTAATTTATTTTAATAAAAACACCAAAATCAAATGAACACAAACACAAGAATAAAAAAATATTACATGTATGTTCTCACTATATTATGTGTTGAAAATGTATTTTGTTTTTTTTGTTGTGATTAGCTTCAATTAAATATTTCTACTGTCTTCCTCTTTCTTTCTCTTTCTCTCTATCTCTGTCTTTCTCTTTCTCTCTTTCTCTCCCTCCCTCTCTTTTTTAGCAACAAATTCTACTGTTATTTTGAATTGTAAGCTTTATTTCAGGTTCCTCCAGAAATGAAGGTATTAACAGTCAAAAAACTAAGATGGTGAAGAATACAGGTCTAAGAGATTTGAAACACACAGACAGTGAGTACAACGGAAAGAGGAAAAATAAGGTAACAAATAGCAGAAAGAAAGAACTGGAAGATAAATAGTTTGACAGACGTAGATAAAGAGCTGCAAAGCAGTGAGCCTAGAAAAGGTAAAATGCCCAAAATGATGAAATTTTATTAGCTCAGCCGGTTTCGTTAAGGTTCGCTCTAAGTGCAAATAAATCAACTTTTGCCTTTTTTTTATAAACCTCAAACTACTGTCCAAAGAGGAGATCGAAGCTTCATTTGATCATGCTTAATATTCACATATTTATTACCGAAATATTTTCAAATTAATTTCCAATTTTGAAGTGACCGATATTTGAATTGTATTGATTTAAAGCTAAATAACGTAGATGGATGATCTGCAGAGCGGATAATTTAACTATGCAGAAAATTCGCGTTAAATTGGCAGCAGTTGATTGAACTTGAAATAGGATAAATTGCAATCTGAAAGATTATCAAAGATAAAGGTCATACTTCTTTATCAATTCAAGAAATACTGATTAATAGATTGTCGATTGTTAACTTTATAAGCCAATTATCAAATTCACTGAAATACATCAAGATTGTTAATAGAGAATGAAAAATAGGCTATAAATTATGATTTTACTTTCTACAAACACAAAGTATGCTTGCAAGATGAAATTATTTTATGATGATAAACTTTTCACCGATCTTTGCATACATTCCCACTAGCTGATCGATGATAAGAAAATGTAATAAAGACGGATTTTCATATAAAATTAGCGATAATGATTTTAAGTTAAAGAACCGATAATAAAAGACACAGAAACATGAGGTGTAGAACCAATAGATTGTTATTTATCTTTTAGGTCGAATTGACAAATTTAAGTTTAAACAGAACTTAAAACTGGGGGTTCATATTTTTCATCAGGACGATCTACAGCCATTGGTTCTGCTCCAGAACCTGCACCAGCAGCTCCTGATCCACCAGCAGTAGCACCAGCAGCAGTACCACTTCCTTTGCCATGTCCATGCAACTCTAATAATTTAGTTAAATCAAACTTAGGCCTCTTTAGTACCTTCACCTTTCGAATACAAACATCGTGTAATGGGTAAATACGATGACAATTCTTTTCTATATCTTTTGCCATAGAATCAGGAATTAATTTGTTTACAACATCTTTAAGGTCAGATTGAGTAACCTCTTTAGTTATTATATCCATCATCTTTTTACGAATTGCTCGTACTTGAGTGTGTTGAGCATATGATGTTTTCCTATTTTGATTGGGTGGTTTACGGGTAAATCCTATGCAGAAAACTCGTAACAGATAACCATCAGTAGTCTTAACATCGATACTAGCTTCAATTAAAGTTTGCCATTTTCGTACCATTGATCGAAGTTTGTCTAAATAGGAAAGCAAAAATGATATATTAGAATCAAGAGGACAGCATTGAACAATCAGAATGATGGAGAAAAAGGACAAAACATATGTATACCTGTTGTTAAATTCATTCCATGGAAGTTAGTTAGTACGTTTTTTCCTTGGACTTCTTCAGCAACAAGACGAAATTTACGGAAGGCAACTTCATCATTTTGAAGATCAGCAAGGGAACATTCAAACACTCGTCCCTTTAATCCTTCACTGGCAATTTTGGTACCTTGTGTCCGATTAACAATTGTCTTGCCGATATGTGGAACCGAAAACATGGATGGTGCTTTAACATCATACCATTCTTTCCTGGTAAATGGATCAACGATCTTTTTCTTGGCTCCTTTCTTACCACCCTTAGCTAATCCTTTATTCTTTCCAACGGCCATTTTAATTACTTCTAATTACAATTAAATTTAACAAAACTAAATATAAACTGATTAATCTAAACAAGATACATTGGTTTTACACCAAACACCGTGTAAACTAAATATTGAAAGGAAACGGAAGCGTGATTGGTAGGGATTTTATCCTCATCACACATTGTAAAAGACCGCAAAAATTTAGATTCAATTTTATAATTACAACTGTTGTAACTTTTTATTATTCATCATTCATCAAATATCATCAAAATTTTATTAAACGAGCATAATCAAGAATAAAATATAATTCTAATTGCCAAGCCATGTGCATTATTATTTCAAAGAATGGAAAAATAAAAGATGCAAATTCAGTGCAACTTGTAATTCATCATAATATTGATTTTCTTTTAAAAATATTGTAATTATTTTAGATCATACTGGACGTGACAGAGGCACTAAAGTGTTGATAAAATATTAAAATTTATACACGAAAATCTGAATTTCATTTGATTTTAAAAGTAAATAAATTTAATAATAAAATTGAATTGAAATTTTTGCGGTCTTTTACGATGTGTGATGAGGATAAAATCCCCACCAGTCATTCTTCCGTTTCCTTTTCAACATTACTTTTACGGTGTGTGTTGTAAAACCAATGTAACTCGTTTAGATTAATCAGTTTATATTTAGTTTTGTTAAATTTAATTGTAATTAGAAGTAATTAAAATGGCCGTTGGAAAGAATAAAGGATTAGCTAAGGGTGGTAAGAAAGGAGCCAAGAAAAAGATCGTTGATCCATTTACCAGGAAAGAATGGTATGATGTTAAAGCACCATCCATGTTTTCGGTTCCACATATCGGCAAGACAATTGTTAATCGGACACAAGGTACCAAAATTGCCAGTGAAGGATTAAAGGGACGAGTGTTTGAATGTTCCCTTGCTGATCTTCAAAATGATGAAGTTGCCTTCCGTAAATTTCGTCTTGTTGCTGAAGAAGTCCAAGGAAAAAACGTACTAACTAACTTCCATGGAATGAATTTAACAACAGGTATACATATGTTTTGTCTCTTTTTCTCATCTATTTTGATTGTTCCATGTTGTCCACTTGATTCTAATATATCATTTTTGGCTTTCCTATTCAGACAAACTTCGATCAATGGTACGAAAGTGGCAAACTTTAATTGAAGCTAGTATCGATGTTAAGACTACTGATGGTTATCTGTTACGAGTTTTCTGCATAGGATTTACCCGTAAACCACCCAATCAAAATAGGAAAACATCATATGCACAACACACTCAAGTACGAGCAATTCGAAAAAAGATGATGGATATAATAACTAAAGAGGTTACTCAATCTGACCTTAAAGATGTTGTTAATAAATTAATTCCTGATTCTATGGCAAAAGATATAGAAAAGAATTGTCATCGTATTTACCCATTACACGATGTTTGTATTCGAAAGGTGAAGGTACTAAAGAGGCCTAAGTTTGATTTAACTAAATTATTAGAGTTGCATGGACATGGCAAAGGAAGTGGTACTGCTGCTGGTGCTACTGCTGGTGGATCAGGAGCTGCTGGTGCAGGTTCTGGAGCAGAACCAATGGCTGTAGATCGTCCCGATGAAAAATATGAACCACCAGTTTTAAGTTCTGTTTAAACTTATATTTGTCAAATGGATCTAATGTAAATTAAAAGTAATTGGACTCATTACACGTTGCCTTTTTCTTCTAAATTTTGCGCTTCTTTTTCTCAATTAGATTATTCAAAATTACATCTCGTATTTCTTGCATAGCTAAGAATCATGCCACAAATTCGCGTTAGAGCATAATTTAGTTATCAATTTTATTCAGTTTTTTAAGTATTGTACGACAGTAATTGTAGTACTCTTACACATCATCAATTCAACTTTTATCTTCGTTTTATATTGCTCATAATCAATAAAGTGACTTGGTGTACAAGTTGGGTACTCTTAACAACTGTTAGAGGTTTCCAGGTCTATTACCAAAGAAAGCAACTGTTTCGTGAATTAATAGCTTTAATTTTGATTCTTAATTCCAAATAATTTACTTTAACATTTAAAAGTAGATAAAATTATTAAAATAATATTTAGTAGATATTTGAAATAATTTATGGCACTTTATATCAGAACTAGTCGCACAAGTTTTTTCAAGCCTCGGAAAATGAGTTCTTAATCTAGCTTATTAAAGCCTTTTATATTTAAGTATTAACTTAAGATCTGATTTAGGGTACAGCTCGCAATAAATTGTTTACGTAACTTTATTGTTTCTAGATTGAGCTTTGACTCGAAGCACGAGTTATGAAAAAATGAGCGAAGTATCAGAAGAGTTCAAAGTATACGGTAAAAGTTGTAAAAATAATTCTCATTTTAGCTAAAATAATTTAGCTCGACTTTCAGATCTACAACTATTTTAAATCAACATCGAATTTCAAACTTTCTTAACTGTGGCTGGGCCAATCGATCGAATCAGAAACGGTTCCTCAGTTCGGATAAATGATTTTGTACCAGTTTTTAAAGGGATATGACTTATCTTGAGTATTCCTGGTTAGACTCTTAGATTAGCGTCTAAAACATGAATATCGTCTCTTCAGTGATCTACAAGAGTACAATTCAAAACTTAAAACTCATTAAAAAACAACGCAAACAAAACAATAGTATCGATGTTAGTAACAGGTGTTACCGATCTTATTATCTTATAGTTATGTTCAATTTTAAAAATTGGTCAACTGATTTGAAGCATTTAACAAAATAAGTTAGCTAAAACCACATTCCCTGACTAGCAGAAATGGATAGCTACGATAAGGACAAAAATTTTGATTAAACTAGCTCTTTTAGATCTTAGTTTATATTATTTTTGGGACTGTAGTGAGTTCATCTGTTTTGTACCAAAACACGGAATGAGCACAGCCTCGGGAAAATTTTATTTACTAAAATCGCTCGAATCGCCCATGATATTATTCATTTCATTAAATGAATCGCCAATATTACATATTTGTATCTCAATACCATCTGCGAGAAAATTTATAACCTTAGAACCAACAACTCCAAAAGAAATATTATTCGACAATCAGTTCATCCCCGTTTTTCAATCCTATGTGATGAGGTGTATTCAATTTCTAGAAATACTATTAATTATAATATTATGAAATGAATTTTTAGATTAAACTTGAACCCAATGCAAATGATTATCCATAAATCAGGAAACATTTGCAAAAACACAAACGCACTTCTCATCCAGTTGTCTGAATATTCATTAAATTGAATAAGAGAGATTTAAAATGTCATTGTCTGATTACTGATTGCTTACCTCAAAAAATTACCATAATCTGCTGGTAACATGAGACAAAATATTTAATAAGTCATAATCGTTTAGTCTACCAAATTAAAAGGCCTCTGAAAAGAGACAACCTTCATTTATTAATTGTATTTATGAGATTTCGATGATATTTATTCAAATTATTCATCCGGCAGAATATTTGTAATCACTTTTGTTTAATTAATGACAATGCAGATGATTTACAAACAAAATGATGCTTCAATTAATACCAAGAAATGAATAACCATGAAAAATCAACTGAGAGCATTGAAATCAATCCAAATCGCTAAAATACCAATCGATTCAAATAAACCAAAATTTAATTTGATTAAACTAAACAATCATAATCACAATTGAACATCATTATCTGTAAAAGTAAATTGGCCTTTTATAATTGACAATAGATGGCCTTCTTTGACCTGAACCAGAAGGATTTGGCGTCTAAATATAACGGTTGAAAGTAAAAATTCAGTCTTCATCTAAACGGGTTTTAAAGTCTGAAAATGAGAACAGAACGTTACAGATAGAATTCAAATCTTCAATAAGATTCAGATTTCTTAAGATGTTATTTAAGAAAGTGTTTTCAATAATAGCCAAAAAGTAAACCCAAAATATTAGCATTAGTAAAGTGATTATCCTTTCATCCGATCAATAGATTGGTTAACCTTTCTTTGATATTTGTGTCACCAGTAACAGTGAAAATTAACTCAAAATGGATTTGATTTACACAACAATTGAACAGATTGGGTACTTGTTTTACATAGTTGACCCTCGAAAGCATATTTACCATAGGGTTGAAGATGTGCCTGATTATGTTTCCCAAGTGATTCCATATTTTTCCTGCTTCATGGCGTTGGAGCAAATTGTGGCCGCCGTCAGAGGATACAAATTGGCCAGAATCACCGACAGTTTTACATCTATTGCTGCCGGTATTCTTATGGAACAATCAAAGTAAGTAAATAAACATACAATCAATCCTTAAACAACCTAGATTTTAACCTAAAACCAGATAAAAATTTGAAAACCTTTATTCAACTCTTTCTCAAAACCAGATTTGTTTTGATTTTCATTTCCTAAACAACTTTCACTTCCCAATATTAATCAATATCTTGAATTACTCAATAGTGTGACAATAATCTATAAATACAGATTAATTGAGGAACTTAATGAGAGGCCAGAACTGGTAATTTTAGCCTAAAGAGCTTAACATTATCTCGTTTGTCCAAATAATTTAACCAAACATGTAAATCAGAGCAATATATGGCTTTGATCCTTCCAATGATAACATCAATTTTTACTTCTTCATTATCCTAACCAGAATTTTTTTTCATCTTCATCTTTAGGATTGTCATGAGAAGCCTTTTAATCGTATTTTACATTTTCGTTCATCAAAATTTTGCCCTTTGCTCATTAAATGGCGATGTAACTTCTTGGTTGATTGCACTGGTTGCTCTTGATTTTACCTATTACTGGTTTCATCGAGCAAGTCATGGTATGCTTATTTTACACAAATATGTCCAACTGATTATTGTTATTATTAACTTTCAATTGGTGTTGTTTTTTTCGACATTTCATCTTAACATCATCCCGCTATCATTACATGTTAAGTCCAAGAATTATCATCCAGGAAAAGAGAAGAGAAAGAGAGAAAGAGAGAGACAGATTATATTTCTATAAATATTATATGAATAACCTGAAAAAGATGAGGTCAAAGCTTATTATTGTATACACATCTTGTTTGTGTTTTGTGTGTTAAATATATATAAGTTTACCATCAACATGTGAGTCTCAAGCCTTAACGTCTTTCCGTTCATTTAATCACAATTACAATCTTTTTTTCACAGAACCAATTAGGCTACTTGTTTAACTTCAACTGACAATTCGATTCAGTTATTTTGGTTATTCAGCTTACGCCTGTTGATTTAACCGATAATAACTTTCTGAATTAGCCAGCATGAAAGCGAAGACTAAATTGGCCAATAAAATGATCAACAGAAATATGAAAACATTGAAATCAATCAGTTAATCGAGCATATCATTAGTAGGATTGCAATTGAAAGCTTCATGAGTTTTCATTGAAAGCTTCAAACACACAAGTTTTTGAGATTCAATGAGATTCTTCCTTCCAATGCTAGCATTTTTGGATGATGATTGAGTTCAATTTTCATTTTCATTAATCTTTTTTTCTTCATTTCTTGTAGAAGTGAATTTTCTTTGGGCAATCCATCAAACTCATCACAGCTCTGAAGATTACAATTTGTCAACAGCTTCTCGTCAATCAATTTTACAAGTTTATTTTCATGCGGTAAATAATATCAATTGATTAATTAATCAATGGCAATAACTCAATTCTCATTGTCTTTTAAACAGTTTTGGTTCATTCCAATGGCACTATTTTTTCCAGCTCCAATGTTTCTCGTACATTTACAACTCAATGTACTCTATCAGTTTTGGCTTCATACAGAACTGATCCCAAGCTTAGGGCCGATTGAATGGGTTTTCAACACTCCAAGTGTACATCGTGTCCATCATGGTAATCACTTTTACTACATAATCAATAAACTAATGATGACATGACTAAATCTTGTTTTGTTTTAACAGGTCGAAATCGCTATTGTATTGACAAAAATTATGCTGGTTTCTTGACCATTTGGGATCGTATGTTTGGTACTTTTGAGTCTGAAAAGGATCCAATTGTTTATGGTCTTGTTCACCCAATCAATACATTTGATGCCTGGACTGTCCAAAACTCTGGTTTCATCGATATCTGGAATCGATTGAAAACGTCTAAAGGATTAGTTCATAGTTTGTCCATTATATTTAAAGGTCCAGGTTGGGATGTTGGTAAACCCAGATTGGGTGATCCTAACGATATACCTGAAGTTAATTACAAAACAGCTACCAAATATGATCCAAAGCATTCAATTTTCATGAATTTATATTTTGTACTCCATATCGGTGCAATTTTAGTCTTCCATATGAATATGGTTCAAACTGCTACCATTGATAATCCGTTGACTTATCTATTCCTTGGTTATCTTACCTTTTCAATCGTCTGTGTTTCCAAACTAATGAATGGTAAAGACTGGAGTAAACAAGAATTAGCTCGATGTTTAATCTTTTTCGCTCTGGAATCAACTTTCAACGCTAACTTCATGGATAAATTGTCCATTCAAGTTGGAATACCAGATTTAGGAAGGTTGATCTTTTTCCTGTCAACACTCTACTGGACCACTAAATTGGTCAAAATTAATGATGGATTTGGTAAACGTTGTAAAGTAAATTGATGATCAAATTGACCGAGAAAGTGATCATTGGTTAAACAGCAATATTTAAAGACGCACTTTCATGAAATGAAAATATATTGAGCTGATTAACTGATTAACTTATTGTTTTAATACATTGTATAGCGAGGTTTTTTTTAAATACAAACAAATTGTATTCCTTTTTTAACTGATAAATTATATTTTTGTATTATTTACTGGAGGTAAACTGTTAACCACTCCATAACCCAGTGAAACCTTGATCTACAATTAAATATCTTGATTCCTGGTAAACTTAACCTTTAAAATTATTGAATCTTTCGCTATTAATTACCTTCTAGGTAAATAAATGATTTAGTCTATGATAAGGTCTAGACTTAAATTAGGTTATAAATGATTGAAGGGCAAAAATTTAAAAGCTAAACCAAAATATCAGGATAAACCTTGATCAAGAAAAAAAGGTTTACTTTGGTTGAGTCTAACGAAGGTTTGCTGTTAAGTTTAAACAAATTGAAATTGATTATTAATCATGATGACTATTGCGATGTTTTTTGAGGTTAAAGTGCGTTAAGAATTAATTAATCAAGTGACTTGGAGTTGATCACAAGGTGTAGGAAATAAGGTAAATCAAATGGATGGAATGAAAGAGTAAACAAGTGAATTGGATATCTGATGAGTAGATAAAATAATAGTGAACCAGTCAAAATTGATTAACCGAATTTATTGGTTTAGGTAAAAGTAAAAAGACTAAATTGTTTTAATAGGTCAGCCTGACAATCAGTTAAAATATAAAAATCAAGGTTTCCTTGTGACTCAATTGTTTATGAGAGCAACTGAGTAAATTGTTACAATTTATGGCAATATTTAGATTCCTAATGATGACTTTTAAGAAGGACCTTAACCTAACTAAAAAGTATTACAGTTATGTCCCATTAAAATAGACGGATAATAAGCGTATAAGGTTTAAATACAATATTCAATGTAAGATACAAGTTCATCTAGAGTTACGGATATTAGGCTTAACATATGATTTCTTTGGTTATAATTATGATTATGTTCATGTATTATGTTATATTGGGATGATTATGATAATGGTTTAATGTTGATTCAGGGACAACTCGATGGTTCAATATGTGAGACGATTCGGTTTTGATTGAGATGACTGGAAAAGGTAATTTCATGGAGAAGGTAAAATCATCCCGTGATTTGTTCATTTAATTATATTCATAGCGGGTTTACCTCATCACCAATGATTCAATAATGACCCGCTTCTCTCAATCTAATTAACTCTCTACCATCATGGTTTCTCTCTCTTCTTCTCCCGATAATCTGTCAAGGAGCTGAATTGATTGCAATAAAGCATTTAATAATAAAACTAAAGATATATAAATAACTAAATAAACTGTGAACCCATTGGTGTATCAATAGTACAACCAAAAAGATAACAATTTATAAAAAGACAAAGAAAAGAGCAACCGATTTTAACAAAACAATAAGAAATCAATTTGGTTGCTTTTGTAGATCGAAAAGCTTCTTTGTTTTTTAACCTCTTAATCAACACCTTTTAGTCATCTTGTTTGCTGTTGACAACAAAAGGCAATTTTGAAGAAACAAAGAAAATGCTTTTATTATCTAATATGATTGCATTAGTTTCTTGCTTATTATTAAGCATTTTTAATAATTTCTCCGTAGGAGCACCAATCAATCAAGGAGAATCAACAGCTAGAGTTGACAGTACAATTGGTTTCTATGATCCTAAAGCTTTCTACAGTTATGATAAATTTGAAGGAGACATCTTGGGATCCTATCCAACGGTGAGTTTGATCCATCATTGATCTTGATAACTGTGAATCATCAAACTTTTGTTTCTAATTTCTTCCACCACTTACTCGTTATTCGTAAATTTTGACTATGTGCTTGATACGAGAAGATTATTATAAAAACATCATGAAATGGACTTCCGTTTGTTCGCTTGATTCCACATTAATCTCTATTTATTCCTCAACTCCATGTGCTTACAGACAAACAACTCAGAAGCTTCACCCTATCATGCCATTGTCGATACTGGTTATCTGTGGCCTAATGGAGAAGTGGTCTACACAATTGACTCCAGCCTTCGTAAGTTTTTTGTCTAATTATCTCTATTTGCCTGGTTTTTTTTGAATATCTGGTAAAAATACTTTCCCCTTTCGATAATAGAGAATCAACGGTCACTTATTAAACAATCAATGGACCATATCACGCAAATGACTGGAGGATGCATCAAATTTAAGGAAAGAACCTATGAATCTGATTATGTTTACATGTATCAAGCTCAGGGGTAAGTATAACTGTCAATCATTATGAATATTTTCTTATTCATATTTCTGTAAAATATTTTATGCTGTAGATGTTACTCTCAAGTTGGACGTCAAGGAGGCTCCCAAGAATTATCATTAGGAAGAGGTTGCCATGTTGCTGGTGTTGTTATTCACGAATTGCTTCATGCTCTAGGTTTCTTCCATCATCACAGCAGATCAGACCGTGATCGTTACTTACGAATTAATTACCAAAACATTGATCCACAAGCTTATCCACAATTTCAAAAGTTAAATGATTGGGAAAATCAATTGTTTACTGATTTCGATTATAATTCAATAATGATTTATGGATCAACAGCATTTTCACGTGATGGTTACTCACAGACAATGACTACGATAAATCCATCAGGAGCAACTATTCAAGATCCCGGTTATAAGCATGCAATGACTCCAAGTGACGTTTCATCCCTTAAAAAGCTCTACAAGTGTGACGCAAATACAATCGACACAGGCAAGGATAAGAAGGAGAAAAAGATCGGTATTGGAGGTATTTGGCCTTTTGACCAAACAACAACAACAGTTCCAGATGCTGACGATGAAGATGAAGGAACTACAATGAAACCAGTAACCGGGCAACCAAGCACTCAACAACCAATTATTCAATGGACAACTCAACCAGTTGACCCAAGTGGTACCTCAGATTACTCAACTCGTCAACCAATTGTACCAACAATTTTTCCAAATGTTGTTCCCTCTATTCCTAGTATTGTTGATTTTTCCACTTCACAACCAAATGAATTTTCCACCCAGTTTCCTTTCACTATAGTGACAATTCCTGGCTTGGGTAAAATAGTGACCCCACCACCACCGGGAGCTGAGTTACCTGAACCAGAGATACCTCATCCAGTTCCACCTTTTCAACCTGTCGATAAACACGTTTGGGTAAGTTAAGCAGAAAAGAAAAGTATTAGAAATATTGATCATATTTTGAACCTTTTTCTTTATCTTTCTTTAACAGGCAAACGAAGTGCCTCAAGATGAAATAATGAGCGACAAAGCATAAAAATTACTCCTGAAAATTGTGTAAATAAATTAAAATGATCAGGAATAATGATGCATCATTATCTCACAGTGTTGGGTGATTATACCTTTTACTCTATTTTTGACACAAATTCTTCTGGACCATTGAATGGACAAAATATCTGTCTATCTTGTGCCGTTTCTACTTGGGATCTTTTCGTACCAAAACATTATCATTAATTTATTTTGAACATTTATAATTGGATTAAACGATTGAAATTACTCTGCAAATTAATACATGTGACTCATTATCGCGATTAACACTAATTTCAATTCTAATTCATGCAATCAAAATATAGTTTTGTAAACAATCATAATATCAATATTAAGATTTATTATATTGAAGTGGTAAATGAACTCAAAATCAATTTTCTTAGCGATAGATAAGCAATGAATAGTTTCGAGAAAACCTTTAAGATGTACGATACAAACTGACTAGTTCAGTTGTTTTATTTTATTAATTCAAGATTTTCACAATTTAGATCAATCTTTGTTGCAGATGACAATCTTTTTAACAGAGCAGAATTGATTTCATGACTATCACCTAGAAATTATGATAAAATGATTTTAAGATTAAATGGTGGACTTGAAATAAATTAAGCTTAGTTTTTTTCACATTATCATTGGTCCTTTTTGGTTTCTTCATTGCTGGCACGATCGTCTTTATCTTTTATTGCTGCCATGGGTTTATCTTTTTCGTCTTTGGATTTGTCCAATACTTCTCCAGAGACACCAAACTCATTAACACGTTTAGGATCAACACGATAGATCCAACGTTGGTACAAATAAATTAAGAAAATGATATCATCTCGGAAACAACCGATACGATACATTGTGGGCATCTTAATGACGAAGGCAAAAATATCATCGATAAATGTATTGAGAAACTTGTAGGTTAACATTCTCCAAGGAAGATGAGCGACTGATTTCAACTTATAGTTGATAAAAAGCTGTGGAGTCATACTTATAAAGCCTATTCGAAAGAAAAAAAGAGAAAAGTCATATTAAATTTTTGTCTCTGATGGTATTGTGATTATTAAATAACTTACCGAATGTTAATAAGAAACCATAAACCATGCCCAAGACCCATGAATACCATCCTTTGTGTTCCTCATACAACAATGAGTACACAGAGTAACCGACAAATAGAGGGAAAACAATCCAAGAAAGATATTTAAACGCCAACTGTAAGAAAATAATTGAAGTTTACTTAAATGATTCTTTTTTTCGGAATGAAATGAAACGATAACTTACCACATCATATTGTCGAGTTGAAGATTCGACATATGATCCTTTGTCAGCTATCTTTATTCTTGGAATGATGTTGAATATTTTATTTTGATAATCTATCTCAATATTTGTTACTTTTGGAATTTTCCATATTTCAATGAGTAAGCCTATTCCAATAGAGATTCGAACAACGGTATTTGTATCGTTGTCCAATACGTAAAGAAATACAACAACGGATTGGAAAACATTGAAAAATACAGATCTAACAGAAAGACCTTCCAAAGATTCACGGTTACGCCAAAATTGAATATCTGAATTGAGATGAAAATGATTTAATTAATAAACAGTTTGACTTCATAAGCTAGAGTTTGAAAGGTGAAAGATGCTTACCATTTTTGAAAGCTAAAAATTCAAAAATACTGTGAGTTATGGAAACAATTATGGTTAAAGCTAAAAGGATAGGTGAAGTCTCAAGAAGAGCTTCTTTGACACTATCTTGACTACTGTCAGATTCTTCCATCATATCAGCGCCAAGAATGCTGTTCCATTGAGATCTCATATTTTGAGTAATATAGAGTTGCCATCTGAACATTGATAAAGGTTGGAAAGTGAGATGAAGAGGAATTGACCTTTGAATGAAAAAAAATGATATGGTTGAAATGATTTTGATTTTGAAATACTGAGTCAATGTTTGATTTGAAAGATTTGAGGACCGATTTATAGTTACTTACTCTAAAGTAGAATTGATGGGCTGGTAATCTCTTTGAAGATTCCAATAATCGTTAAGATAAATAACCGGGAAATATTTGCCAGTAGTTATATCGAATCTGATATATTGATCGAAAGGTGAGGGAACACGACCTTGTACCCAAGGAGTTTGATCATAAATTATATTAATTGTTAGATTAGGATGCCAATGAGAAATTATTTCCTCTTTAATGTTTTGTGCAACCTTTTCAATGGACTCTTTGGAAGCTGATGTTTGGCCAGTTAAAAGGTTGTGCGTACTTGAGTATCGACGCTTTTTATACTTATTTAATTGCTGTCGCTGATGAACAGTAAAAAATTCAGAATAAGTGGGATTTTTAGGGTCTGGATGATGTCCACTTTTAGTGACATAAACATGAATATAGATGGACCCGTTATTCTGAACTCTCTATAAAAAAAGAAAAATCAAAATTAAAATACTGATAAAGCAAAGAAGTCTCACAAAATTACCTTAGAAATAGGAATAGTTGTATCAAACTCGACGAAACCCTCTTGATTAGGACCAATGTTCCAATCACCAAAAATTAGTTCTTTTTGGGTCCATTTTAACTCATTCGGACTATTAAAATCCACTTTTGATGGATTCTCATTAATATATACGTAAAGGTCCTGTAATTGAGAAAAGAAAGATAAATGTTGAAATGGGTGAGATTTAAAAATTAAAATCAGTGTACAATATCTATAATGAATTAGCTATTATTTTCAACAAAAGTCAAAGATTAATACGGATTAGTTTTCTGAATGAAATCATTTTTTTGTTATCAAATGGACAGACATCAAAATAATTGAAAAACATAAAATGTCCAACAAAGCATGAAAAACGAGACACTTCGCTTGAGATCTTGCAAGTTTGATGGTTTAATGATCATCGTTCTTCGGGGCTTTCTATTATGAGCTTTTTTGAACTTGCCGTGGATGAAAGAAACACATTGATCAATGGAAAGGTCTGATGGTTTCAAAAGATTTCCAGGCTAAATCAGTAAAGAAAAGTAACTTCTCCTGGTGAGTGATATCATCCTATCTTTGCCATTATCCCACAGAATAAGAGCAACAAGTAAAGACAATAAAAAAGAATTATTCCTCTCAAGAAATACATAATCATGTAAAATATGTATATCAGATTGAAACCAAGACAATTAAGCTCAACTGTCTAATCACATAAGCTGTAAATATAGAGAAATGAAGGTTCAGATAATTAGCAAGAATTGAAAGTGAAACTCATTCAATTAGATGTGGGAATGAAATAAAAAGGAAAGATACATGCTGTTTCTAGATCATTGATTACAATAAAATGCAAGCTGAAGCTATAATATTTGCTCTTAAATACTCATTTAGCATTAATATGTTTACGTTAACTTAGCTGAGCTAAATTTGCATGACTAGACGTTAAATAAGATAATATACTGCTAATTCATTTAGGTACACTCATTTCATCAAGAAAACTGTCGTGACTGACCATTATGGTTCCATTGTGAAACAAATTCGTCGATGGTTCAATGGTTACTCCTGGACTGGATGGTGCAGTTTTAGGTTGGTTCATCTTTGTGAAAAAGTTTACGACAAAATACATAATGACACATCTCACAACAATATCACGAGCAATGCTCCAAAAAGAGGTACCTTGTTGCCTCTGATCACCTTCAGCTGGACCATCAGTGGCCACATTACCAGGCTAAGAAAAATGGTGGATCAATAAAGGTGGAAAATGATACAATGATATAATAGATAGTATGATGATAAAAATATTAAAAAATCAATGGAAGAAATAAAAAGCTTCAAATAAATGAATTGTGAGAACATACCTGTTGCTGGTTTGCGACCTCTGATCGTTGATTACACATAATTTGAACCTAATCAATCTATTGGATAAGACTAAGTACAAAAATAATCAAAAAAAGGAACAATTAATGAGCTCAACATAAATTTGCACCTTAAAAATGTGAACAGAATCAGATTATTACACACTCTATGACATAGAGTTTTTAAAGATACTCTTCCTCCTTAGGTTTCAGGATCCATTTGGACTCGCTTGGGATCATTTGATAGTAGATATCGAGTCCTTGTTTACTTTTTGTCTTGTCTACTTCGATGAGAGTTTCCATTAATTCACTGATTATCAATACTTTTGAGAATTTATAGCTGTGAAAAAATGTCATTCTGGCCTGGCAAAGGTCTTTTTTCAATCCGAAACAAGCGACTTCAGCGTGTTCGGGTTGTTTGGCGGCCGCCTCAAAATTATAACAATGATGAAAGTGCTGAACACAATGAAGAGCAACCTAAAAAAGGTAATTAACTTGAATTAAATAAATCATCTTCATTAACTTTTCATTCTTCCATTTTCACTATTTTGTATGCATGATTAGGATCCGCATTAAATGAAACTCATAGTAAGGGTTTGAAACAAAAAGTAAGACATTGATAATTTACATCTTTTAACTGTCAAATAAAATAAAATTTGTTGTTATGTTATGTGCTCTTATTTTAATCTGTTTGCAACTTTTTTATTAACAGAGCACAGAAAGTCAAGAAAAATCTGGTAAAAAGGGTGATGGTGATTCTAAGAAGACATCAAAATACGAGAAAGTCAATAATCGTGGTAAAAAAAGGAGAAATGTTAAACCTGTAAGTGACCAGTCAAGTAATTCTGATGGCTCAGAAGGTTTAAATTGTAAATCAGGTGATGGCGGGAATGGGGATGATGATGAAACAGTCGATGAAAGAGGTTTAAGTGAGACCAGCAATGATGCTCCTGTCGTCAAAAAGAAATCCCGAAAGAAAAGATCAAATCGTCGATCAAAGAAATCTGTTGTTATTGATATTGTAAAGAAAGATGACCAAGATACCAAATTGAAAAATAACAAGTATCATGATGTTGGCAGCAATGAAGAACAATTCAAAAGATTGGAAAATAATTGGGAAGATGCTGGTGACAGTGGTGGACGAATCTCACGTTGTTCATCCTCTTCATCATTATCATCTTCATGTTCAAACCATTCATTGATTAAGCATTATACCAATATAATGATGAACTGTTGTGATGATCAATTTGATGAGGATTGTAATGTTGTCAAAAACAAAATTGATCGTATACTGAAAAGTCAATGGAAAGACAGGTTGAATCGTTCAAAAGAGAAAACTTCTGGTACCACAGAATCTCATAGCCCAACACCGCAAACTTCTCTAAAACACACGTCCACATTTAAATTGAGACCAGCTCGATTACCTTTGAATAAGAAGACATGGTCCAAGCTAAAGAAATCAAATCAAAATACAGATTGGCTTTTCAACAATGATACCTAAATGGTTTGCAATGAAATTTTCACACCAAGGGGGCTATTCAATGTGTAATACTTCACACAAAAATCCAATGGATGTAAAAATAACATTTATATTGTTGACTATTAACCAAACGAATCTCGCAATTTAACCAAATCTGCAAGATCCTGAAAATTTAAAATGTTGTCGGGAGTTGGGAGATTTTAATGCAATTTCATAATCAAAAGTAACAATTTCATCTCTTATGTTTTATTTCAGTTTTAACTCTTTATAGTCTTTTCAAAGATTAGTTTTAATCTTTAATTAAGAATAAGCATTTCTTATAACAATCATTCATTGATTTAAATTCTTCGTCAATTGACTTACCCTAATGGGTATAAAAAAATCTTCATCAACTATTGTATGTTAACATTCTTCTAAATCAGTATAAATTAAAATAAAGACTCATTGTTAGCATAACCAAGCGCTACAATGAAACAAAATAAATTCAAAAAATAATGTTTATGATCAAACCAACTTTATTCCGCTCTTTCAGTCTGTAATTTAATACAATTGAAAGTTTTAAATAATAAACTCAAGCTAAAAATCAATAATAATCAAGCATTATAGTTGATGATGACTAAAAAGTAACATCTCAATGATAATGATTTGCTGTAAACCATCAAATTGTAAGCAAGTTAAATTTCAATGAATTTATGAAAAGCAACGGAAAGTTATTACAAATACGATTTCAAGATTAATTTAAATTGCCATGAAAGAATTGAAATTAAAATTCCATGACGTAGATTTCAAAAAGATTTACCCAAATGCAACCAATACAGTAAATTTACCCTGAAAAATTACATCACCAGATGAAATACCAGATTATTCAGATTAACGTTTATCACAAATAGATGGCAGTGTTATAGCTAGGGTAAAGGTGGAGCCAAGTTTAAAAAACGGAGCTAAAATCTCAACTTGCTTGTTCAGTTGAAGTAGTCAAAGTGAAAAGTACATTTGTGGTAAAGCTGAAAATGCAAAAGTTTATGATTAAAGTTTATGCCAAAGTTTTGTGCCCTGATGTTGAATACAAAACATTATCAGTATCAAAGGTGACAACATGCCGTGAAATGGTTACCATGTTATTAAACAAGTTCAGGATGAAACACACGGATCCTAATTTATTTTACTTAACCATGGAAATAACTATTCGTCGAACAGGTAAATATTTCTCATTGAGTTTTATTTTTTCACGTTCCAACTGTAATCTAGCTAAAGTGGCAATCATTTCATCAAATTGGAAGCTAATTGTTATTTTACCCTGCAATCTTTCACTTTTTGTAATCTAGGAACACCTATTCGGACTGTTATTGTTTTGGATGATATGAGCTGTCCAGCCCAGATCCAGGAATCATATCCTCATCAAGATATCAAGTAATTTATCCTGCTGTTGCAAAATGTTTTCCCTCTCAAATTAACTCTTTGTAAAACACCCACAGAGAAACACCACAAGCATCTCATTAGACTCCATAGTCATCTTTATTTTCTCAGCCCATTTTAATCTCTCCAAATGAGTTATCCTCTCTCTAACTTGGCCAGTTTCACTTGTTACCCCTCGCCCATTGCCTTTTTGTTTCCTTCATGATCCATCGCTATTTTCGGTGATGAGCGATTCGGCCATGAGAAGAATGAGAAAAGGATAGTTAAGAATATAAAAAATGCGCTTTATCTCTTAAAAGAATCGGATGACAGGAAATAGGATCACTTCCTTTTTTTACTAATCTTGTATACATTGTTGCTTGACATACTTGATGGTCCAGTTAAAGAGATAACGTCAGGTCCACTTTGCTGTATTTTCTGACACCAAAATCTTACATTTTTTTCTTGCAACTTTTAGCCCATTTTTGTTTCGTTTGACACTAATTGCTTTTATTATTATCCCATTTTCCCTTAATTGTTGCAGATTCTCCCTGGTAACAAGACGAGGTGGATTGGTTAAAGTTTATGACAGTTGTCTCATGTCAGCGGTAGGTTAAAAGCCTTTAAATATATCCATATCCATTCAATTAACGTTAAATATGCTAAATAATTGAAACTTGTAACACCATTTACAATTGATTACAATTTTTTCTTCTTTCACTCTTTCAAATATCTAATATTTTATGTATTTTTTATTTCTATTACAGTCCTTATATAAGAGCCTTCTCATATCGGATTACACTACAGTTTCAGAGCTAATTCAACTATTACTTCATTGTTACGATTCAGATTCATCGCCTTCCCATTTTGCCTTATACGAAGTTTGTCCCCAGAAAAAGTGTAAGTTGTCAATCCACTAATTTGCATTCCCAGTTTTAATATCACTTTAATGTAACGATTAAAGAAGCAACAAACAAACGAAACAAACAATTATCTCTAAATGTAGAGAAGATTTTCTTTTTCTCAAACTTAACCCAACCTCACCTAATGTTTCATTTTAAATCACCTTTTAATTGCATTATTTGCACTTAAAATTTGTCCTTTACACGGTCAACGGTATTAATGTGATGGAATCCCTTTTGTTTCTTGTCTGATGAAAACTTTCATTGATTAATCATTTACTTCATTTCTTCCTCTTTTAAATCTTGTTCAGGGGAAAGGAGGTTACATGAGAATGAATTACCCTTGATGATTCAGAAAGAATGGACAATAGGAGATTTATATTTCTTTCAATTACGACTTAATTATGATGAGCAACTTCAACGGAGAAAAGTAAGAAATTATAATCATTTATTTTCTAACACAATTAACTGTATCATCATAACATTTACCTCAGTTACTCTATCATCATTATAATACTTGTTCATCACTTGACTTTTTTTGTGTATTTACTCATTGTTGTGGTCATTTTTTTGTGAAAATTTTCATAACAACCTGAAAAATCGTCAATCGTAAGATTGTCCTTCATTTGTTTTGATAATTAGTTAAATTCCCATTCAGTTTTCCCAATTGTCGACCTTAAAACCCACTCAAGATGAAAGTTGACATTGAGATGACACTTTATATAGAAAATTCAAAAGCAAATTCAACCAAAAAAAATAATCAACTTACCATGAACTGTATTTTTAGTAAAATCATTTGCTATTCAAATTTACCATTTTGTCCATCATTAATATTACAACCCGAAATGGCTATTGTACTAACTCAACTAATTACCATCAAAGGTCAATGCATTTTTGATAAAAAATGGACTTTTGACTCTAAACTCTTGCAATTATCATAGAGAAATAACCTGGCGAGTTAACACAATTAACCATTCAATGAATGGTCATCAGATCAACAATTACTGTCAGCTACTTTTGATGATCCATTGAAAATATGCATTCACTTTGAATGGTAACAATAAACTCGATTATTGCCTTAATATTGAAAGAAGTGCAAAAAAAAACTTTCATTTCTTTCGTTCTTTTCATTGAAACATTTCTTGATTTACGATTCACGATTTGATCATATTGATCCTAATGAACTGCAATTGATTTATTGATTATCATTGATAGGTGTTTTCCTCTCATTTGAATTCGTTTTACATGAAACGTGTTTAAATATGTTTTCACTTTCACTTACAAAGCATTTCAAATTGTAAACCAGAACAGGTAGGAGGTTGTTTTCATGTTGATTGTTGATGCCTTTGAATACAATTGCTCTTTGTATACTTTGCAGTCACTTAGGCCACTTTTATGCCGCTTTTCAATTTATCTAAAGCATAATTTTTTCACGATTTTTGATCAACTCTCACTTTTGCATTTCATTATCTTGTTTCCGTTGTTGGTGTTTTCATGTTTTTTTTATTTCTTGTTTACTTCTCTTGATTGTAACAGTTTCACTAAATCACTGAGTCATTCTTATCAAACGGAAGTGTCACTTCACTGATAATTAGTCATATTGTGTGTTTACATGGGACAGTTGATTTATCTTAACCATCAATTATAATCTGTTAACTTGAACAATCAACAAATTGCACATTTCCTTCGTTACATCAAAATTCCTAGTCTTTTCCTTATCTAGCCAAAGATTAAACATTAAACTGTAACATTTTGTATTCAGCTAATTGTAACAACCAATTTAATCTCATTTTTCAGTTTGTGCACTTTGAATTTATTGTTAAACTTAATCATAAGCTTTGATATGAGGAACCAATTGCATTTAAACGGTTACTTAAATTTCAATTGTCTTGATCAATTTGACAACTCGATCTCCTTATCATTATGTTTTGTATACAATGTTACAAAAGATGAAATCGTCTGAATTTAATCTGTATTGTTGATTAGATTAATACAAATTGGGTGAACATAAGATACTTTGACTTGTTTCTTTGACCATTAATCATCACCAAACGATAGCAATTAAAGCATCTTAAGTTAATGAATAAAATGTCATGGGAAAATGTATCTTTTGTAAAATACAAAAGATGGAAAAATTTCCAATCGTTGATTTAATGATTAATCAAATTCCATTAATATCTAGAACTAACAGTCTTTTGTAACCTTTACTTAACCCTGTAACATTGGTATTAAACTGAGCAAATGATGAAAACAAATGAACCAAATGATTCAAAATGTGTATCAAAAGATACTAATTGAATGACAAGTTAACTATCGTTTAAAGATGAAAGTTTAAAATTAACTGTCAGAGAAGGCAAAATAGATGAAGAAATATTTCCATCATATTTGATGAATATCTTTGAACAATTGAATTTTTCCTTCATACTTTAGTCTAATAGATTCCAAAGACTTACATTTTCCATCATGAAATATCTCATTCTTAAACCAATGTTTTGGCCCATCAATTGATGTATATTTGTTTCTCTCATATAAATCATTATCATCATCTTTAATCATTACAATTGCCAAATTGTAAATAACAACTGCTGAGGCAAACAGGTAAAGCCACATTGTCATGTTTATGATGAATGATGATAATGATTGTGTTGATGATAATAATGGTGGCGATAACAACTTACCTTTCATTCTCTATTCTCTTTATGAATTTCAACCTTTACCTTTCTCATGATGAAAAAATTTACCGAGAGTGAAATGATTCAGATGGTTAAAAAAAGGCCAACTTTGCGATTACAATTTCTGTCCCGAAAATACACTTTGACTTTAACCATTATTCACGGCTATTAGTCAAGTGAAAAATAATACATTTAAGTCTCATGCAAGTAACTCATTGGTGATTAATTTCAGGCCATTTGATTGTTTACCAAAAGATATGAATTTTGAAAAAACAATTGTTATTGACTGTAAATGTTGAGACTGTTTCAATCATAGTTTGTCTTGAAACACTGGGAGTTGCCAGGTGAAACATTTGAACATTTTTTGCTTCATCTTCAGTTAATAACAGTTTAAAATGATCAATTTGACCAACTTGATTCTCACTGTTACAACAACAGTAACTAGTTTGAGACTATCTCTGATGCATTTTTCTGCCTGATTTTTCATCTTCATCTTCGTCTCCCTTTTCATTCTGTGATTTCTTCTTTTCTCCGCCATTTTTTACCTTTCTTCTGATAAATTTGACAGGAAATTGGATCACACAGGTCAGGTATGAAAAAAAGATGATTTGATGCGGAGAAGATAATATTTATTATTATTTTTTGCTACCAATGAAACTGGATAACTTGAGGACTTGATTTTTCTCCTCTTCTCCTGGTAAAAACCTTGATCGAGACTTGGGAATTAGGGAATTCACTTTTATCATTTCATTTTCAAGATGCGGTGAGAGCGGGAAAAAAAGGTGAAAAGATGATGAAAAAAAAGTGTGGAATGTTGTATTTGACTTGAATTGGATGAAGATAAATCAACTGATGAAACCTTGAAATCTTGAAACTTGCTCATCTTTACCTTAAAATTGACAGATTTCTTCTTCTCTATTCAACTTTAAACCCAAATGCAATGAAATTACTCGTGACAATAATTAATGATACTTGAGCATGTTTAATGTCCAGTTTTGAGTTCGTCAACCGGATTTACTTTGAATATTAATGTCATTATAATCCAAGTAACCCAAGTTATCATTATTGAAGACAAAAAGGACTAAAAATTTTGCAAGAATGTTAATAGATGTTGAAGCAAAAAATAGCCTTGCTTTGTCCAGTTGCTCTTTTTTTCATGCTAATTCATCAATCTTGACCCTCTCTCGCCTTGTCATACAATAATTTACATAACAACATTTTACTCTTTAATTGTCTTTATTAGTTCAAATTACTTTCAACTTTCCTTTCCTTTCATCGTCAATCAACTTTATTCTGACCAGAGAAAGTCTGAACTTACTTACATTCTTGGCATCTATTTTATAACTCGTCTCATTTGAATTTTCCTGCTTCTACTGAACTTCCTTCCTACTCTTCCTCCTTCACCATCATCACCACCAGCATCATTATCTTTATCATGTTTTACAGTTTCCAACACAATTCTCGGAATTTACAGGCAAAAATTAAAAATGCTTTTTTAAACGCACACAGAACCTTCTTTGTGTGTTTCAACAAAAAGCCAATTTAGGCTTTTTTGCCCTTAGGTTTGTGTCCCTTTTGCTTGTTCATCTTCACCATCTTCATTATCCTTCATCATTAGGGATGAACCTTGCAATTTCGCGTCTCTTTCATCTTCCCTTTTGCATGGTGCAATTGAGTAGTAAAACTGCAAAATTGAAAATCATCACCTTAACTTGAACAAAATTTGCCAAATTTCTCAGCTTCTTGTTCCTATGAAAATTATTCGTTAACATCTATTAATACCAAAACGTTAGTTGACTTTGATAATCTGTTAGCCCCTCAAGGCTCTTAAATCGCTCCTTGTTATCATCATTTTTTTGTTTCATTATTATTAACATTATCTAAATATTACTCTTAAAGTGGCCATGTTAAAGTAACGACAAAAATCACACTAATTTACTAGTTAATCAGTAAATTCAGAAACCTCAAGGGCTTGCCAATTGCTCTCAACATTTTAACTCACAGGTTCCTCTTTTAATTATTATAATAATACATATTTTATTGTTGACCCGTCCCTTCAATTGAACCTTCAATGATTCACTAACCATTGAAAATCAATTTCAAGCTTGACGTTAGTTGCAAAGTACATCAGCAAACTATTCAAACACACCTTCTGAGGTTTCCACTTGATTTTTGTCACTTTCATTTATTGCAATTTATAAAACTGGTAATCATCAACATTCAGAAACAAAAGATTAAACAAAGAATGTTAATCTCAAGATTAATGGTGACAATTAATTGTTTATCATGATTTCCATGAAATCTTATTGTAACACTTATCAGCAAAACTCATTATCTTGCAAGAATCACATTTTGATTTATGTTCAACATTAATCAAATGAGGAAACAATTTTCTTAGCCAATTACAAAGTCAATGATGAAAATTGTTTCAATTTTTTAATTTTTGACAAAATCTGATAAACTTAATCTTAAATTCACTTTCAAATAAGCTTGGTGAAATGTCTTGGTGCAGTTGAAGAGCAGCTTAAAATGTTCACTCAATCGGGTCTAAATTGACCACAAGTTGAGTGGGTCAGTGTTTAACAACCCTTTTTACTTGTCTTTTGACCCAAATCATCTCCAAGTAATGGACTTATCCACCAACCATTACCTACAGTTAAAGGTAATTAGTCAATTCTAAAGCTTAAAAGGTATTATTGGATTACAGTCTAACACCATAAAATTGTGGTCTACTCATAGTCTTAACTAGTCTTTACCT